GAGAGCAGCAAGGGGCAACGCTCACCCCACAAACTGGCTTGCATCCGTTGTATTCATCAACACCATCTCGCCAAATGATTACAATCAATTTGGTTGATGATGAACAATTAACGACTGTTGCACGAGTCCAACAGTTACCACCATCACCAACATCGTCAAGTTATGTGATGCAACCAAAAGCGTTTGAACTAGTCGATGGTGATGATGATGATTCAGAAGAACAAGATGTCATTGAAGAGGTTCCGGTTATTCAAATGAATGGAAATGACGATGAAGGCAATAAAGATAATTGTGAACGCGAAAACATTAATGCATCTGAAAATGAGTCGGAATCGAAGAATGAAGAGGCAATTGAGGTATCACAGATCGATGAGCCACGATGCAGTGTACAGCAGAAAGTGTCAGCAGTCGATATCGCTGTCGGTGAGTAGCTTCAAGTTATTTCTTTTTCCGATCATATTGTAGTACAAACTTTTCCACTTATGATCGTTTTTGCGAGTATACACCTTCCTGTAATGAATGATTGAGTTAGTAGTTGATAACACCATTCTTACTTACGAGAGAACCTCTAAAAATGTCCCCTCGTTTTTTTAACAAAATGTAGTACGTTATAGGTAATCGACCATGTCGATTTCTAATATGATATTTATTTGAGACTATAGGCCTTTCCTAGCCGGTTTCTGGAAAACTGGTTTACCAGAAACTTCGAAAATCCCCAAAACTTTTTCTAAATAAGCCACGATTGTCGCCAGCGAAATTCTGATTGAAATAAGACATCTTCCAGCGCCACACGACCTTTCTTTGCATAGAGTTTACAAGAAAAGCCCTAAATTTCTTTTTCCCTTTTCAGCTCTGGGGTGACAATGAACATTTAGGGCTTTTCTTGTAAACTCTATAACTTTGCAAAGAAAGATCATGTAGAGCTGGGAGATGTCCCATTTTGATCAGAATTTGGCGAGCTATAATCGTGACTTATTCAGAAAAGGTTTTGGGATTTTTCGAGGTTTCTAGAAAACATCGGCTAGGAAAGACCTATGAGCCCCAATGAATACCGTATTCGAAATCAGCATGGTTGATTACCTATAACCTACTACATGTCGTTAAAAAAACGAGAGGACGTTTGGGAGGTTCCCTCGTTAAAAATGCGATCACAAACAATTTGTGCTACGTTAAAAGCACCGCAGCAGAATGAAGGAAGAATGAGAGAAAATTAAGAAAAAATAATTATCCAGCGCCACTTTTTGAACAGAGCACTTTTTTATGTTTCGATTTTAGTTCATATCACCACAAATGGTGATATACAAACAACACCTAAACAAACCAAAACCACTTTGGCGTGTCAGACAACACCAAGTCTCGTTACTCGTCTTCAGAGCGCCCAACAAACAACACCACTCAAATCCGTCACTGTCAACAGTTCTTGTCAAACAACACCGCGTTTCAATCTTCGTTCAACGCCAGTCTCTGGCAGTTGTCAAACAACACCATTATGTGCACCACCTCCTCGACAAACTTCTCAACAGCAAACGACACCATTGCCATTAATCGCTCGTCGAAATTTGCAACAACAAACGACGCCATTACATTCACTTTCTCAACGAACACCACACTATCAACAAGTTATGTCTCTTACACTGAAGGATTTTGCACACCCACGCTCTGTTCGATTTCAGTTTACGCCATCGACAGAAACACGATTACAAGAGAAAGAACGTAAAGAGGAAGAAGAATTAGAATCCAGACGAAAACAGGAACAACGAGAGGAAGAAGAATTAGAATCCAAACGAAAACAGGAACAACAAGAGGAAAAAGAATTAGAATTCAAACGAAAACAGCAACAACAAGATGAAGAAGACAAAGTGAAAACGACAAAAAGGGTGAAGGCATCCAAATCAAAAACAGACAAATCTCAAACCATGAATAATGATGAAGAGCTTGCACAGCAAACCGGACGCCGAAAGTTACGTTCAAAATATAATACTTTTGCGGTCAATGACGATTCGATTGAAGAAGACGTTGGAGCGTCACTACCTCCTTCCACTACATCAAAATCTCGAAGACGGAATGCAAAGTCGAAACAACCATCACCGCAAATGATTGTCGATAAGAGTGAACAAGAAGAAGATGATCCATCATCAACTGAGGGACAAACTAGAAGTCGAACTACAAGACAAACGTCAAAATCCAAATCAAAAGTGATCTCAGAAGACCGTAGTGAAGTTGTTCTCTCAGTACCAATAAGGAAAAAGAAACAGCGCCAACCAGCTGAAAAAGAAACGAAAAGCACAGATGATGGTGAATCAACATCGAACAAACAATCAGAGCCTTCCAAAACATCGAGAAAAACAAAAAGCAGCACACAGTCAACACATAGTCAGATAACTGATAAACTACCAGAAGTCGATAACTCAACTCATAGCAGTCAAATTCGATCACGACGTCGAAAGGCTGCTCCTGATTCGACAATACAAATAAAAAAGGCGGAAGAAGAACCGATCATTTCGAAAATAGCTAATGAAAACGTTGACAAAAACGATCCGTCAACATCTAGAACAACACGCAGTAAATCATCAAAAGCAATCGTAGCAGAGACTGAAGATGAAGTTGTGTAAGTACTGTTTTTTGTTTTTGATGTCCACGAATGAATAAATATAGCCATATTTTGCATAAAATTTTCCAGTGTACAAGAATAATTCACATTCTGTTTTGACTATTTTAGCACAAATCATCGAAAAACAGCTAAAAAGCCGAGTGATAGCAGCAAGGATATCGTATCATCGCTACCTCCACCAGCGAAGAAAGCAAAAAAGAGCGTACGTGTAGCAAAGTCACCTCAAGTAGAAGTTGCACCATCTGAACATGAAGCAACAATCACAAGTCGAATTACAAGACGAACAAAGAAAGATAGTAGTGTGATTGTGGATAAAAGCAAAGATGAAGAGCAACCGTCTGTTGCTGTCGTAGAGAAACCCTTGATCAAATCAAAACCGAAGAAGCAAGAAAAAGATGTTGAAAACGATTTGATAACAGCAAGAACAAGAAATGCAAAGAAACGAGAAGTAATGAACGAACAAACTAAAAGTGATGATAGTGAATCAAGACCGACCGAACGTTCGAAAAAGAAAAAAATGTTAGACATTGAAGATGAAGACAGCGCACAACAAAGTATGAAGCAAGCATGTTTTATTGTTTGCCAAACAGAGCGTCTATATGCTTTAGTCAAAGGTCAACTTTGTTAACTTTGTTGTTGTTTTTTTGCTAAAAACTACAGAAGAAAAGTGCTGCTATTCGATTTATCTGCTGTTTAGTATTAGTTTGTTTTTACTGGCATAATCTTTTTGTCTTTTCAAGGTTCAGCATCAAAGCAACTGAAGAAATCAGACAAAACCTCATCTAATGGAGGAAGACGTGGTCGACAAAAATAATTAGCATAAACATTAACGTAAATTTCATTTATCGTGAACACACACAATCATCGATAGCATTTATTTTGGTAGAAACTCTTTAATATGTTTGATTTTTGTACTTTCTTTATGAGTTTCGTTTCAAGTGTTTTTCCTATTATTTTCTTTCTTATGTTTTTCTCTGAGTGCGTTTTGTACATTTGTATAATCGACATTGATGTTTACTATTAGGATAATATTGTTTATGTCATATGTATACAAAATATCACTGTTTGTATGTGTTATTCTGTCAGATTTTTGTATAACTGTTTGTTTTTGCTTGTTCAGATGCGTATTGTTAGTTTTTCTTTTGGAATATATAAAAATAAATATTTGCTAGGAATCAGATATAAAATATAGTCATTTAGATATATATTTGATAACTGATCGAACACGCATTGCTTTAAGTAGTAAGCAATATCTCATGATAGAATCTTTCATCTCAAGTGAAGAATTAGATTTTTATATATCCTCCGTCGTTTTCCTGTCCATCAGATGTTTTATGTTTATTTGTTGAAAATGAGCGATATTTTTCCTGATCCTTGTAATAGTAATAGTGATACATTATATTGACATTAGCAACTATTCCATCGCTAATTAAATTATTAGTATTGGCGGCTGTTGATAGTACGGAGACTGAAGAAAATATGTCACAGTTAGAATATGATTGTTCATAGCATGGTACGATAACACTTAAACGACTAAATAGACTGTGAGTAATATAGTCTACATTCCAGTCTTAAAATAAAAAGATTTATTTTAGTATGAAACAACGTCAACAATGCGCCGCTACACTTATCATTGAAGGACGAAAAATATTTGCACATCGCTGAGTATTACGTTGTCATAGTCGGTATTTCAAGAAATTTTTTCTAAACTAAAGTCAAAACTAACGATTCATCAAAGAAACAAATATATTACCAGTTAGATGATCTTGAATGTAAAGTTGTTCAAGAATTAATCAGATTTATGCATCATGGCAGATAGGAAATATTTTTAATATCAATCATCGGAAGAAAGTAATTTAGATCTTTGCTTCGAGATTTAGATTGACCGCTGAAATGATATCAAAGGTGTATAACAATGCACATGAGTTGCCTATTGATACAGTTTCAAAAGCTTTTTCAAACTTTCTGGAAGAAGGATTAGCAGAACAACACTGCTTAGGTAAAATAGTAGTGAGATAGAGATGCGCAAGTACTGAATTTTTCCGAGTACGAGTACTCGGCGTGTTCGGCCATCTCTATTTGTTTATAACTAAAGGATCCCACCGGAGAAGATTGCACTCTGTCCGTCCCTTTGAAACCAAACTATTATATTATGGTTGGATAGAGGATTGTTAAGCACATCTGAATCTGTTGTCGGTTCTCTAAAATTGCTTGTCCCTAGGTGGAAAATCAAGTTTTTCTCATATAGTGTCCAGTGTGGAGTGATTTCGATTAAAAGTCTTATAACTCAACAACGAAAGTAGATGTCGAAAAACCATTTTCACCAATAAACTTCCCATCAAATTGTACACAAAATCATCTTCTATATCTATAATAAACTTAACTTGTGTTCATTGAAAACACAAAACATGCCCTCAAAGTGAGATAATTCAAAAATTTCGAAAAAGTTGAAATTTCAATAACACTAATATTTGAAATACTGCGTCCGCCAAAGTTTCCCCAAAACATCCTCATATATGTTAGTTATTATGATAAAAATTTGGTCAAAAAATATTTTGTCCAACCGGAGATATTGTAGCGGCAAGTTCGATCAGAGGTGAAATACTCGGCATCAACGATGGGCTCAATTCGTATAAAATCTACCACCATTTACATCGAACTTTGACATCAGTGACGAGACCTACGTCATATTATCGAGCTCAGTAAACTGAACCGAACCACCCTTGGTGGAAACCGCAAGTCTCTAGCCTTGTTAGAAAAAAAGTTATAGCCATTTTATCCTCGGATCGGAAAAATGCATTTTCATCATTTTTCCGACGGATTTGGCCAACTTGCAGAACGTCTGCTGATCATATTTCGTAACACAGAACCTTGAAGTTGGTATCAAATGAAAGAGCGCGTCGAGTTCTGTATATTTCGATGATGAAAAGTTATGCTATACATCGGGATCTTGAAATAGAGATTTCTGAAAAATCCGATTTTGTAGAAAACCTGATTTTAAAGTTTCTTTCAGAAGTTTTTCAACCATATCATTGGGTAGCCCCTTCAATTCCCCGTAGAATGAGAAGCTAACCAAGTTTCTACGATTTGGGACGACCGAGTTACTGGCTTTTTAACATTACGAATATAAATTCATTCGCTTTAATTCCGTTTTCGATCTTCATCGTATTTTCAATGGCACTTCTTGACACATCGTAGAAACTTGATTAGCATCTCATTTTATGGAGAATTGAAGGAGCTACCCAATGATATGGTTGAAAAACTTCTGAAAGAAACTTTAAAATCAAGTTTTCTAGAAAACCGGATTTTTCAGAAATCTCTATTTCAAGATCCCGCGGTGTAGCATAACTTTTCTTGATCGAACTATACAGAACTCGACGCGCTCTTTCTTTTGATACCAACTTCAAGGTTCTGCGTTAGGAAATGTGGTCAGCAGATTTTTGAATTTTCTCACCTTGTGTTTTCAATGAACACAAGTTAAGTTTATTATAGATATAGAAGATGATTTTGTGTACAATTTGATGGGAAGTTTATTGGTGGAAACCGTTTTCCGATATCTACTTTCGTTGTTGAGTTATAAGACTTTTATGGACATCACTCCACACTGGACACTATAGAGGAAAACTTAATTTTCCACCCAAGAACAAGCAATTTTAGAGAACCGAGAACAGATTCAGATGTGCTTAACAATCCTCCATCCAGCCATAATATAATAGTTTGATTTCAAAGGGGGGTGGGGATGGCAGATTTGCGGTCTTATCCGGCGGCGGGGGTCCTTTGTTTTTCTCAGGCATAAGGCAGCTGGCTATAGATAATGAACTTCGTTGCAAGTCTGAATTACGTATAAAGAACAATTTTACCTAGATATTCGAAATACGTGAATTTCATGTATTGCCTACAATCAAATTGGAATTAGTCGATAAGTCAACTTTTCTACTCACACATTTCAAATCCGAGACAGTTTCCAAAAATGTCTTAATATTGGTCCTATTTTTCTACAGATTTAACAAATGTGAACAGTTGTAAGTGAACTGATTATAAACGGGTTATTGAAACAACTTCAGTAATACAATAAAACTATTCAAGAACTTTGCGAATATATGAGTGACGGGAGAATGCTGACCAATTATTGTTTGCTTCTTTTCAACAGTATTTTTCTTTTTTTTGCAGATGCATTTATTATTATATCTAAATAATGAACACAAACTTTGTGATTGTGATAATATGAACAATTAAAACATCAATTTCTCTGATGCAATCAAGGTATCAGGTATCCTAGAATTATTTTTCTTTTAATATGGGATTAAAACAATGGTCCACATGAATTGAGACTACTCGACGTGTTTTTCAAAATTTCTTCTGCAGTGGAAAAACATCGCCGTGAAAAATTGTTTTTATTTGTTGAGTTAACATAAAGAATTAGCTTATATTCTTTGAAAATAGTCTCTTTCTTTGAAATTTTGGTTTTAGGATTACCAAACTTTTAAACTTAAAAAACGAACAGAGAGAAAATTTTTGTCTGTAGTGGAAATAATGGTCAACAAAAATTTAATACGGCCGAATGTTTGGATACTACAACAGACAATGAAAATGGTCTCTGATCAAAGAATGGGGATAATTTTTGTTTTTAACTTTGATGTCTCTCTCATAAATCGATCATTCTTTCATTTTTCATTTAGCAATGTATGCTGATAAAGAAATGTATGTTTTTGGAGGAAAAGATTTCGTTGAAACAATTAAGCAAAAATGCAACACTAATTACATTAATAGAAGGAAAAGTTAGATGATTAACAATCTTATTTGCGAAAAAGAGAAAATGTTCATTATAAATTCATATTTTTTAATATATCATTGATTTTAATCAATTCGTTTGTATCCAATTGTATAAGATCAGCTTGAAATAATAATTGTTGACATGTTTGTTCTATTTTATTTACATGCTCATCGGTTGAACTTAAATTTGCTTCACTTGCTACAAATTGTTTTAACGTTGTTGTCATGACATCATTTGTATGAGAATTTTTTATTATAGTTTTAAATAAATTTATAATATTTGTTATTGATGTCTGAGATTTTGAACAAATATTTTGTTTGGCATCATCATTAGAAAATGTTACTGTCGTCATAATTTCTTTACATCTAAAATATTGACAAGAATACAGCATTAAAAAATTCAATTCTTTACACAGCTTAGCAATTCTTGGTTTTGTTGCTAAAGAACTTGACGAATAAATGTTCTTTTGCAGAAAATTTTCTCGTATTTGATTTTGGTTAGAGCTATATCTTATTATCTTTTTGAGTGATTTTTACTTATTTATTACATATAAACAGTCCATTCATAAAATAAAGTAAGTTAATATTAAGCTACAACGTACAAGTATTTGGATAATATTAACCTGGAAGTCTGCAACAGACAAGTACTTGAACTACTTGGAATAAGTATTTGCCTAATGGAAGATCAAGTACGTCTAAGTAACTTTATTTTTGGACAAAAGGCAAGTATTGGCTTCATTACTCAAGTGAAATGCTTGTTCAAGAATGGGTCACAAACTTATTCATTGTACCAGAGCCATTTTTTTTAATCAACGAAGTTGGCTGATTGGACTAAAAAAGAACCACAAGTAAAATAAAATGGATACGATACACTGTTCATCATCGTGCTGCTCACCAGAGCCATCTTTCGACAGAAACATGACATATACAAGTTAAGTGATATCCTATGAGTTTTTTTTCGCTCTTGTTTTGTGATCGGAACTAAAGTAGTTTCGGCACTTTTGCTAACAGTATTTTGTTTATATCCAAAAAAGATGAAGTTCTTATTAGAAACTTAAGAGTATCATGTAAAGTATTTACATATTGAAAAGAAACATAGTGAAATAAAATATTGCTGTTGTTATTAAAACAATCTAGTATCTTTTACTGCTACCTTGTCTCAATGTTTCAGGAGTTCTTCTTCATTCTTGCTACTATGAAAAAAACACACATTGTAGATGATTAGTTCTATGTGTCAAAATTGAAATTAGTAATTTTTTTTTTCTAATTTTAAGAGATTTATATAAGTTTTTTATTTATTTTATAAATAACTATAAACTATCAGTTCAAAAAAGCATTTCTGTGCATACTATTGCTACTTAATTCTCTACTTAATCATCACTACAGACCGATACACTGCGTTAAAATGAAAGTGTACTTATGGTAGCTTCGTTTTTCCTCTCATAGAACGCTATCTAAATCGTGAATTTAATTATCATATGTTTGAAATAACAAATCGCTTAGTTGTTTAAATAACGTTTAGAGCGATTAAAATACGAATTAAAGTGAAAAAATAAGTATAGAAACTGATGTTACTCATGTAGCATGGTGAGACGCACGTGACATATAATACCACCAATAGAATATATTAAATATAACAAATAAAACGGGAAATAATAAACGACACCATTTGTCGATATCGTTAACATCCTTTATGTGCGGTAAACTTTTTGAAACGCTATTTGCTTTTAATCTTACAGCATTAAGAAATCGATCGGCCCTCGAACGTTTTTGTGTCGATTTGGTACGTGATGATGGCGATGATAAAAATGTTTTGCCGTATAACGTACTACCACGAATAATCGTATTTAATCGTGGTGGATGATTAGTTTGTTCATAATTGGCATTCGTACATTCAGTTACACAATTTTCTGTTAAATGATTCAATTGTGTTCTGTTTCGTAAACTTAATATCGGTGATCTACGGCCACTTGATTCTTCTTCTATTTCATATTCATCCTACAATAGAAAAAACATGTTCTAATCTTGCTTATCATACTCACAGCGATGCCCCTGTAACTCCAAGAACCATGATAGCTACGGACTTCTAATTTTGTGTGATCATAGCTCTTACCGAATGCTGCTAATCCCACCAAGCCTATTTTACTGGATGTTGCGTGAGATATAAGCGTTTTACTTCTTTTCCGTAAAATGCTGATAATTTCTTATCCAAGAGAGATGAAAGCTGTTTCTTTTTATCAAAATGTAGTCCTGACTGTTCACGAGGAGAGAAAGTTTTCAATAAAATCTTTTGTTCAAAAAATCAGTTTCAAGTATGCCATTCGATCGAGTTTCGTCTGCTGATCTCAAATATGTCATTAATTTTGCTTGGAAATTTATGGAAAGTGAAAGGGGCACAATGTATGTAAAATGGCGAGGATGGAAAGTGAGTGTGTTATCTACTTGACAAAGCTTTACCTGCGTTTCCTTCCCATAGGTTTTCATGATTATGCTGTACGTTGAATGCAGATTCTGCAGTAGAAAGGGTGATTCTTATTTCCTCATCCTCGTCCCTCTACGTGTGTTTCAATAGTGAGTGCTCGTTCTTAATAAATTTTAGGGAATATACAATAGTTAACCTTCATACTTTAGCTGGATAGTCTAAAGTCGTTCAAGAGTATTTGCTGCGAGTTTGAAGTCGAAATGATATTTCTAGAATGAGTTATGAATTTACACAAAAGCTTTCATGGTTCTTGATTTACAGGGGTATCGCTACTTTTGCGGAATACTGGATATATTGAAACGAATGTCTGATTTAAAATCGTGCTTACGCATCGTTGTTGTTTTAATTTTTCCACTACTTTTCTTTTTCGTCTTTTCGCTCTTGTACCCCAGTATAAATAGTTGACTGCTGCGTATTCAAGTAGGGCAGCAAACACAAAAACGAAACACATAACTAGATAAATATCAATTGCTTTCACATAGGATATTCTCGGAAGTGATGATCGAACACCGGTACTAATCGTAGTCATCGTTAAAACTGTAGTTATTCCTACAATAGCCGTTAGAATGAAATATATTTTATCCCAGTAATTTGCTGCATTATACCTAGTGCTACACGAGCTGAGGTTGCCTCGTGATTGATCCAAAAGCTCACCCAACTCAACATAACGATTAAAATCGATGGTAAGTATGTTTGAAATAGAAAATAGCCAATATTTCGTTGTAGTATGAAACTTAACGATAATCGTTGATAAACACCTTAAAATAAATAAATGGCAAGGATTTAAAAGAGAGTAGACTTATACTGACCTGTTGCTAGATCCATTCCGTAAGAAATTGTATTATAATCCATTATTGTAAACTGTGGAAGTTGTACTTTATCTAAATCCAATACAGACTGTTTTCCGTGTTTCCATTGCATAATCACGTCAGCTTGAGTGTATCCGTCTGAAATTTGGTAGAATATTTATAATACATACATAACGAAATCTGTAAGAATGACTGACATGATTCAACTTCAACAGTACAATTTTGACGATCCAACGGATATCGTCGTAAGTCCATCATACATGCGAGTGTAGTTGTAAATCTAAATAATTTGTATCAATGAATATTAACCCTTACAATTGCGAGAAAGAGTTGACTTTTACCTCATTCCGTATACGATATCTCCATTACCATTTAAACGTATCATCTTGTTCTTCTCTGTAACATCATGTAGATAAGCACTTTTATCATTGGGAAAAAATGTATCTGGTAACCAAATTCGATCAATAATTTCACCGGTTAATATTATCTCTTCACTAATGTCACCATATGCTAAAAACCAAATAGGAGATTATAAATTGAAAAAAATTCAAAGATTTTTTTCTGTACCTAATCGATCATCCCTCCAATATTGATTTAGATAAAGTGTTAACGTATAGTCCATATTTACTTCGGATATACTATCAAAACTGGCTAAACGAATCTCTATGTCGAGAAGAAGTGGTGTATCTAAAAAGAATGAGACCAATTAGTATTAGAATATATAAAGGAAGAAGTTCTTACATACTTCCAAACGAGGGTCTCAAACGACTATCATATGATTTTAATAATTCTTCTATTGTAGTAGACACATCTCTGAGTCGAACAGTGGTCATTTTCTGGGTACTCCTAAGAAAACGACAATAGAATTGACAATAGAAAGTTCATATCTTTTTTGTAATGAATAGAAGATGGCACCAGAAGCAATAGAAGATAGCAGAAGAGCCACATTACAACGCCCTGACTTTCAAACTATCAGCGGTACTTTGAAAAAATATTTACGAGACCATGGGAGTTTGGTCCCGCAGGCCTCTACCTTTTTAACAGAGGTTCCCTCTGCTTTATTGACTGCTAAATATTCTACAATATACGGAAATTGTTTTACATCCTAAAGGATTTGCAGCATCAAGAATTCGAAATAAAACTTGAAAAAGAATCTAGTCTTACAGACGACATATGTTTTATATTTAGTACGACATGGAAAATTCGATCAACTCGAAATATCAATACAAAAGGAAATAATAGACATCAAGTGGCCAATTATCAATCATTATTCTTCCAGACAATGTTTTGGGTTGGAAATAGAATTCGACAGAAATTTTTAGAATCTTCACTCCTTTTCTCGGAAGAACAGGTAAATCTATTAACTTTGGTATATTGTAAAAAAGAACTCTAACCAATGAGTACTTTGAAGATGAGAGTATCTCATGGACAATCTATTACGTCTAGTAAGTTATTTTCAAGTTGCTTTATCTTTCATTAATCTTATTAATAAAATGATTATTAAACTAGTATATTGAATTGAAATGAAATACTATAATTTTCTATTTACTTATTTAACTTAGATTAGTAATTAGATTTTGTTTTTCATATCTAACATTTTCATAGAAAGAAGTTATGTTATTGCATTTTATTTTCTAATATAAATTGAGCACCATCATGTTATTATTTCTACCTTGAGGCCATTTTCTCTTAATTGTGATACTAGAATATTTTTTACCAATTTTTTCATCGCGATGATCATATAGAAATAAGATCTATATAATGCAAATCTGTTTATTTTTTTTTTTCTCAATAATAATCGACATTTTTTTCCCTACTAATATAACAACATGAACAATTTACATGCAATTCACCACATTGTGCATAATGAAATAGAATTTGCTTGAATAAATACTCTCTAATATAATTTGAATTAAGATGTGGATTAATATACGAAGAGTAGGAAAATCTACTATCCTTGTCAATCTTTATTTTATGTGACTACTACTGAAAAGACGAAGGTAAACTCTGGTGAACTCGACGTTTGAACTGAGAACGTTATTCAATAAATCACACACTATAGTGATTTTTCCATGTTCAACAAGTACTTGGAGTAAAGCTCTTAAAACGGCTCTCGTAAATCATTTTTTTTTTTCAACTCTGAAAATTTGAATTTTTTTTCTGTATGAGATTTGTAAAATTGCAACGGAAAAAAAAGGATCAATTGAAAAACTAAACTGTAAACGTAGATCATTGCTGACTATTCGTCAACAGTGAGTGATTGGTATTTGCAGTAACTAACACAATATTCATCACTTACCGACGAAACACAATAACAAATATTTGAATTATCATTAAAAATAGTCGGAAATAGTTGGGCATACTCTGATAATAAATAAATAATCATTTGAAAACGTAATCGAACAGTTAATTTTGGTAATTTTAAATTGTATCCCATGGACAGGAAATCGAACTACATAAAGATTAATTAGAATCTAATTATCTAGAAAATAATTAATCATTGAATAATAACAAAAAATAATGACAATCAATAAGCTCATACCTGAGCTTTTGTTCCCGAAATAAAATGATAAAAATGATGTTCTCCTCTCTTCTTTTTCTCTCATGATAAATTTTTCTGTTTTGTCATACAACTACATATAACTCTTCTGGTTAAATTTTCCTTCAATTAAATATGCTTGAATGCATGATAGTTCTGTTTTATTCTATGTTATCTGTTTCTACCATTTATCGTTCACATGCACACACAGACATAGTTTAAAGTCATTTGTCTAAAAAAAATAATAAAAAGAAAGATTTGGAAAGAAAAAAAAAAAACTCGTATAAATCAAGAAAAAAAAAATAGATTGTTTTAATCTGTATATAATCGCATGGACAACACATCATAGGAAAAATAGGAGATTCTGATGGCAAATAGATAAAACAAGAAGATTAAACAAGAATTTATAGGATTATACAGACTTATTTATGTGTATATGTATGAGATTTATTTTTTTTTCCTCTTCTGCCTCTAATTTCCGTTTTTTTGTTATTCTACCAGCAAATATAACGATGAGTTATTTGCGCAATATAATCAATCGACAAAATCCCAAGATAATTTAGTAGTACACATACATAAAACAAAATGGTATTTAAAGAACATGAGCTAAAATAGTTTCAGCTGTTAAATGATCTGATTTCAGTACATTAAATGAATCATGATTGTACAAACATAAGTAAAAAAGAGATTGAAGCAGATAATAAACACCAACATCATCTCTTCTCTATGTTTATACTTAGTGTTCTCATAATTTCATGGTGAACAAAATAGATAATTGTGCTAGTTGAAATTTATTTTTACTTCCATGTCAATGATCAATTCTAATCAACAAAACGTCAATTAGAGTAGCATGAGATAATTATGATAAGTTTTTGAAGTATTTTTAATACATTTGAGTCACTTTTTATTGAAGAAAACCACATTAGAATTAATTAGTACTAATCAATTTCCATTGATAATATTATGTATCAAAGACATATCAATGGCAAAAGTAAGCTTGAGAGTTGTTTTCGTGATTCAGTCAGTCATTATTCAAGCGTTAATTAAAATCATTTTGTAAATGAGTTTACTATTTACTCTATAAGACTGGAACTTGAAAAAAAATTCGTACTTCGAATCAGAGCTGGGCGAGTCCGAGTCATATTACTTGGACTCGAAAATTGGATGACGTTGACTCGAGTGATTCATTCAAAAAAATTTTCATTTTCTCTTATAAAAAAATTACAATTTATAAGATTAAATTTTCACTTATTCATAACTTTCGTCCTAATTAAATATATTGCATCAGAACGATCTTTTATGCATAAAAACTGGGAACTAGATATTGTGTCATGAAAAAATTGTTGTAAACGTTGTTTATCAAAATAAATAGAAAACGAAAAAAATGGCCAAAATAACTTGACTCGGAAACTCGTGTCTCAACTTGACTGGGCTCGAAACCGCTACGAAATGACTCTGACTCGGCTCGACTCGAAAAGTGGCTTGACTCTTCTAGTCCTGCATCGGATTTCGTGAATCTTCGAACGTATTTGCAAAATATGATGATTTAATTGCAGTCTTCTTTTTTACGATTTGCTGTGGTAAAATGATAAGATTCTGAAGAATTTGGTAATCTGAGCTTTTTCTGGTTCAGTTTAGTGTGTCCGATGATGTTTTCACACCTATTTTGATATTTGTCGTACAGACAGAATTTTTTTATTGAGATACTATTCGAAAGAGCAAAGTCTTAGCTACACGATGAAAAAACGAAATTGTCCAAAATAATTATGTGATAGTTGAAAAATATGTTTTTAACTAATGAATTATTGATAAATATCAAAATAGACATGAAAAAGTGATCGGAAAAATGATTCAACTGTACTCAAATTACTTCAATATAATATTCATAATTATCTCAAGCTGAATCAGAAAAATAGAGTCTGTTTTTTCGGCAGAAGAAAGGAATGTTTACTTTGAATATAAGTTATCAATTCAACTCAATGCCTGTCCTCATAAAAAGGCTATATTCCTAACTCTTGGGCTTCGAGATAGAAATTTAAAAGTGAATAAATGCATCTAATTAGAAGATAAAGACATAAGTCGATTGTAAAGATGTCTGTTTCATCATTTATCATTTCATGCATTAGTTGTCACGTTGAGTTGTGAATATGAACTTCTGCGGAAGCTTTTATCTTAATGCGGTGAAAGTTCATTTGTTTGTTTATGATTTTAGAAAAACTTTATTTAATCTTATAATGGGGATATTTGTTTTCTTAAATTTTGAATTCATTGGATAATTGTACATGAAAAAGTGATATAAAATTTTAGAACGCTATTCATCACAAAATATAATTTTATTAATTGTTTGTCTTACAAAGGAAACTTCTCCACTAGATGATAAATTACTTTTTTGATAAAACATATTTTTTTTCATAGACTATTTTGAATGTTAATCACGAATGTGATGTTAAACCTTTCGAATACTAGAGAGAATACTAGAGATACTAGAGAAAAAAATATTCTGAAAAGTACACGACTATACATACAACTATGACAATTTTTTTTATCTCTATTTTTCTGTTTCGTTCTTGAACTTATAATTAGAATATTTTAATGAAAATTTGTATATTTGTTATTATTTTTTAATAAAAATGTTTGCTGCTGAACTCACACAAATTGTTTTGATATACGTTCGATTGTAGACCGAGTCGAGAGTTATACATATGGAAGAGTTTTAGACGAAACAACAGAAATCTAAGACTGATGAGACGCCAAATTAAAAGATAAAGTTTTTGTATCTTCGTAAGAAATTTATTGTTTAGTCTAAAAACCCTTTCTCATGTGTAACTCGATAAGTTCTACAATCTGCTCTCCTCTCTCTAGATCTCTTCGAACCGTTATTGAATGTTCGTCTTAATTTTATTAAAAACTTCGAATTTATCCAAGTATAGCGAATTAATTTTCTGTGACTTATGAAACAGTCATTGTTACATTATTTAAAATATGTGAATCAAAGGCAAACACTAAAACATGCATTGAAACAGCTATTATAGCCATCTAGTCATACATGTCTTGGTTCCAGTTCCATTAAGAACTCATGATGATTTCATAATAAAGGTTATATTAAAAAAAAAACAGTCAAGTTCAATGAAAAAAATCGAAAAACAAAAACAACCAGAACGAAAATTTGCTTCAAACGAATAAAATACAAATTACAACAACGAAACATATGATGATGTGCAAAATTGTCCTAGTGTGCATTATTTTATGTGAAGGGTATTTTATGAAGGAAAAATGTTATAAGCAAATTCGAAGTTCAAGATTGAACTTTGTTGAACGGTAAAACTTTAAATAATCTAAAAAGTGTGTGTATGCCGAATACAACGTCACTCATAAATGATCACAGAGAGAAGAAAACAAAAAGAGAAAAACCGTTGGTCGACAGTTTTTTTTGTCTATAATACTGTTTTTCATAAAAATAGAATAAAAGATGGAAGGGTGATACGATGAAAATCAATAGTTTGAAAGTTATTAACATATAACAAAAATCAGCAACATGAACAATTTGCCGATTATGAAGAAAGAACTTGCTGTCGAATATTCAATGTCTTCTGTTTATTTTGTAAACAAATACGCATTTGAATTAATGATTCCATATAGGCCATACCAAAAGATTTTAATGTTGAAGATTTTATTTCCGTTTTACCAAATTCATATTTCCAACATCCATCGTCGGTAGTAGAATCGTTAGTTATTTTTTCACTAGTACTATCAACATTATTATTATTTTCATCGTTTACTGATGAGTCATTTACTGACTTTTGTTGTTGAGATTTTGATTTTGTTGAAACAGATGTAGCTGTTGGCTGTTGCTTTTGTGATGTTGAGATTGGTACACTAAAATAGTTAGAAACAAATAAAACTCAAGTGTTTAAGAGTACATTGATTTATCTGTGATATCTGTTGATCCTACAGTGTTTGTTACATATTGGTTATAGTATATAACGGTTATATACTCTTCGAATAAAAATGATTTGCACAGTTAGTAGACACAATCACTTATGAATAAGCTCATGATGGTAGTATAACAGAGATCTTTTTTTTCATAAGCAAAGTACTGTGACCTGTTAAGAAAAAGAAATATTTTCTACTATTTCTACCTGATTGTGGATGTTTGAGTATCATCAAGTTCTCTTTCTAATTTTTGATATTCTTCATCTCTCATTTGAATTTGTTTTTTTAACCATAATTCATAATCACGTATTGTTGTTTGTATTTGTTGCCATTGTTGATGAAAGACATGTTCAACCGATTCAAGTTTTGAAAATAAATTTTCTATAATTTGTTCATGTTCATTATCTGTTAATGCAGTATTTTGTGTATCATCTTGCGATGATTGTTGTTGTTTCTTTTTCGATTTTTTATTTCCTTTTTGTTGCTGTTTGCTTGCTTGATTAATATTTTTGTTCAATAATACTTGTAATGATGTTTTTAATGCAAGATAAATAAAATAAACGTAAGATGAGTATTCAATATAAGATGAATATAATTCAATTGGACATTTTTCACCATAAAAATCAAATAGAAAAGTAGCGTTTGATTTTGTATGATCATCATTTTTGTCCGATGTACACGTATGTTTGATAAATTGAGTTTTATTCATCATTTCATTGAGTAAACTATAGGTATGCATCAATTGATTTAAAAATTCATCAATTTTTTTATGAATTGAACCAAAATCCACAGTTGTATTATGAGCAGATATGAACATTTTGTTTGCATCTTTTTCAATTGCATCGTTACTTGTACGAAATGAAAATCCAATTAAGAAAACATCGATCAATAATGGAATTGGTTTATGTAGTTCTAAATGAATAATTGTTTTTAGTTCACACGGAATATAGTCCTCTTTTTCATCATTAAATGCCATGATTGATAGTAGATTACGGTCTAAATCTTTATGAATTGATCGTAAACGATTAAACATAAACTCATTAGGTAAAAGTGGAGGTGCTTCAGTATCATTTGTTTCGGTCAGTTCAGAATCAAATATTGATGATGGTTCAATTATAGATTTATCCATATAAAGCGTGCAGATATAATTTAATATAAGTGAACGTAACTGTAAGAGACTACAACGTTTCTGAAAATCTTTAATTTGATATTTTTTGTTTGAATCATTATATGTCGAAGATTTATATTTTCGTGGTGGATTGCTGGTAGATAATATTGAATCAGAAAATGAACCTATATCATCATCATCTAATGTTATCGGTGGTAAATCATAGCGTAAACATCTAAAAACAAACATCAATTAGATTCATATAGCACAAGAAGAACAAACTAGGAGTAAAGGATAAATCGTTGAAGAATGAAAGCACAAATAGTGGGAAAGGCATAGATAAAATGTGCATTTCGAGTAAGGAAATTAATAAACACAAGAATCTATTCCTTCCAAGGATCTTATGTTCTAAAATCTAAAATGACGAAATTCAAATATAAGCTTTAGGAAGATACAGATAGGTAAGCCGAATCAGATTGTACATATTATACAAACTTTCATGAGCTCTATATTAACGAAAAAACTCATTTGTTTTCAATTTTAATGCTTATCAAGTTAAGTTAACATTGACAAGGCAACAAGTAGTGCTACTAGTATATGGTTTACAACACCCGAATGTTGTTTTTGCCGCTCACTATTATGTATTGAAATGCCTTCCAAATGTTGTCCAGTTAATCCGCAGCTTATAAAATTCAAATATACGGCCCAGTTTTCATTCTTAAACTAAAATCCATGTTTTACAAAAGATTCTTAGTTAGCCGAACAGTGTGGAATTGTCCTCTAACATACATGTTTTAAGTTTAATTAATGTGATAAGTATTAATTGAAAATTTTGTATGGTACAAGCCCTCTTTCACATCTTAATCTCATTATACCATCACATAACCAGAAATCTTCGCGTTTGGGCATGACAGACAGGTTATTACTACACATTTTTCCACAAAAGCGCTATCTTCTTCTTTCTTATCCCCCATCTCTAAGCAGTGGAATGGTTTTCCACCCTCAATAGCACACATGGCCAATTTAGATGTGTTTCATGCTTCTCAAAAATCATGTCAATTATTTTTAGTATGTTCTTGCTCTTCCTGCTACTCTTGAAACCCCTAAGAACGATTGTTGTTCTTTCTCTTTTTCTCTCATTGTATTGTGATTCATTTTATCTCTCTTTCTATCGGTAACAGTGTCTGTTATGTAAGTGAATTTGTTTTTTGCTTATTTACTGTTTACTGGCTATGTAACATCTTTAGTAAAAATACATTTAATTCAATTAAAAAAACAACTGATTTCTTTCGTTAATTAGAGAGTTGCACATATAAAGTCTGATTCGACTTACCAATTTGAATCTTTCTAAAGCTTATCTTTGAATTTTCGCCATTTTAGTTTTTTAGGCATACTCTAGTAGAAATCAGTGAGCACCGATGCGCACTGAAACTTTTTTTTGTACAGCGAAGGCTGTAAAACTTGACATTCATTGGTACAGGTGTTTTGACTTACCTAAAATCAATCTTTGTCCATATATCAAAATCTCTTGTATCTTGCAATTGTTGAGTGGGATTCTGATCACTACTAAGAAATAATAATTTAATTGAATTACTTTTGAATAGAATTTTATTTTGTAATTGTTTCAAAATGTTCATAATTGTCTGATATGTGTTACCATAGTGTACGAGATCAACAATAATAGATGCAATCAATGAGTAGACATATGTATGCGAATAGGTTAAGTAATAATCAGAAAACATACGTATTTCATTAATTCGTTGAAAATTTCCATATTTATAACAGTACATTACTTGATTCCATGAATCATCGGTATAGGTCAGTAGAAGATTAGTTAAATAAACAAAAAAGTTTTTCATTGAACGATAGTTGGTAGTGATTCTTAATGTATGATCTAACAATAGATAACCTAATGAATAATATTGAATATTTTTGATTTCTAATTTTTCATAATATTCTTTCATCATAGGAAAACAATTGAATTTTAACGATAAATAATAAAGAAATAATTTAATATCAAAATTTGTTGCATCTTGTTTATGACCATATTCTAATAGACAATATAAATCGATTAACATTGATTCAGAGTGTTGTTGACGGATAGTTTCATTCAATATACTAGCTGATATTAGTACAAGATCACCTTGGAGTAGTAATGATGTTGTTGGTAAATGAGAATATTCAAGTAATTTCGAAATTATTTGTTCACGATGAGTTACAAGATATTTTGAATTGATACATAGACGTGAACAATAAAGAATATTTATTAAGAACTGAATATCAACGGCAGATGACAATGAGTTTTGTTCAATCTCACCACCTATGGTTTCTTGTTGATCAACAAGTTTTTTAATATGTTTTTCATACAAATACATATTTAATTGATTATGTTGTTCAACAGGTAAATATTCCATATATTTATACAGATCATACATTGGTAAACATGATGTTTTTGATGAATATTGCTCAATGTAATCTTTTATATAACTGAAATATGATTCGTTCATGTACGATTGAATAAATGGTGTTTCGTAATATGTTTTTTTAGCTTCATTGTTATCTGTAGTTGATTTTTTATTCAAATCAATAAATAATCGTCTACCAAATTCTAATTGAGATAATAGTGGAGCACGATCACTATTTTTTCGTTCATCACCTATAACAATAAGAAATAAAATTATCATTCAATTGCATTATGCAGGAAGATTTTAGAATATCAAATTAGCACAGCAGTACTCGAGAAGAAACTAAGTAAATATCGTTGTTTTAAATAAATAAACGAATAAAGGGTCTTTGGTTTACTGCAAAAGATGTTCTTAGAATAATATTGTAATAGAGATAAAAGTACTAGAACTAACTTTTCTCTCTTTTAACTGAAAAATTTTATCAAAAAATATAAAAGTCAAAAAATTTTTGATGCAAAAAGAATGTTGTACTCCCAGAAAATGAACCATATAAAAACAAGAGTTTTTACCACGTCTGGATTTATACTAGGCAACATAAAATAAAATAATTAGATCTTTTTAAAAGATCTACACACTTATTCTCACCTGTTGTTATTCCAGACGCTCGTGATTCGATGCGTTGACTGATAAATGCAATTAATTCAGTTAAATAAGATGAACGTTGATCATAATCTAATTTAAAATATGAATCAAATAATGCTTCATACCAATTCCATAAATCCATATCATCTGCAATATATTCTTGAGCTAAATGATATGTTTCAATATAATTTTTTGCTTTATAATTATATACTATACGTTTTTCCGACATAAAATAGTATGATACAATTGATTCATCATTTGGTATTATTGGCATCAATTGGTGACTGTGTTTGTCAACAAAATCCATTGCTGCTTTAAAATCTTCTTTTAATTCTAAAGTGTATAAATATAGTAATAATTCCATTTCGCTAATATGTTGTTGTTCAACGTCAAACAATTTTTCTAACATTTTCATTGCCATTGGTACATAGAGTGTTTGTTTTAATTGTGATTGATCTTCTTCAATTTGTAATAATACACTAATAACAGCCCAATTTAAATATGGAATTTTTTTTGTTAATCTGTATAAACGATCGGCCGTTATTTTTTGATTTTTATAATCTTTTACACGTACATAAGCCATAAATAATGAACATAATAATTCTTCATTTATCTGATCACGTTTACAAGCACATTCATAAATCAATACATTTTTCTCATACATTCGTAATTCTTTATAATATTGAGCTAAAAATGTTAGAGCATTTTCATCTACTAATGAATCTTGTTGTTGTTGAGTACGTGAGGAGGCAGATGCAGATACCGATACAGGTGTTATCGATGATGCTAATTGAAATAATTCATCAGCTAATTGTTTTGCTTCGGGTCTACGATCAAGTTTTAACAACACTAAACATTTTAATGCTTTTGCAGCTGTAAATGTTGGTTGTTTCTTCAATAAACGATCGATTTGATCAAGAGCTTTGCGATAATTTGATATTTCCATAAAATCATAGATTGGCCTTAGTCGCCTCTCATTGACCTCTAATTTTGGATTTGCAATACGATCATTGTAATGTGTGGATTGCATAGCATGCTTAACAGACATATGCGACTGCATGGTAAAGTCAATTAAACTGAAAAAAATAAAATAAAATACAAATCAACATAATAGGAATATACCAAAGTCTAATACATAATCAACGATATTAGAATATCTTCCTGTAGGCTATCTAAAAAGCTTATCTACTGACTGTCAATCAACGACTGACATTAGACTATGTTGATTATAAAGAAGCAAATCTGCAACTGAATACTTAAAAATGAAATTAATTTTTCAGTGTATCGAAGAGACTTTGATAAAAAAATGATTTAGAGACTATTTTATTATAAATTAGCATAGAAAGAAAAAAAAACAGATTAAAATAAATTAACACATTTTGTTTCATCTTCATCATTATATGACGTTCGAACTGGTCTTTCTTTTTTTTATTTAGTACATGCGAAAGTGCGTAAAAAAACTATACTTGTAAAAGAAAGTCTTTTTTCTACAGGATGATGAAAAAAGTAACGATATTTCGGCATATTAAAAAGAAACTAAAAGATGTCACTTTGTGAGGGCTTGGCAGATCAATTAATTAAAATCAGCGAAAAACAGTTTATCGAAAGAAAAACATATGATAATTTTACCCTTTAAATTTATATTTTATAAAAAGAGTCAACAAATCCAAAGGCAGGATAGACTGTGAAAGAGAGAAAATGTCACAATCCGCACTCCTAGACAGGAGTTACCAAAAAAGCTAAAGCACAATGGATAATGAAAAAACAAACAAAGTATTAATGTTTATATACAGAAAAAAATAAATACGGAAGCGTTCTCTTAACAAAAATGCAGTGTTCTATCTAGTGAAACAAAAAAAAATCAAATTCTATAAACATTTTTATAACTGATCAATATCATTAATAGTTTTAATAGAGCATTCAAGTGAGCATTAAACACCTTCCAAAGCAAGAGAATTTAAATATCGCTCCGATTTTCTCCATAGATAAGATCGAACATAGACAAGTACCTTAAATTCTTACTCTATTACACTATTAATCAGAGTAAAATACATATTCATATTTTTCACGCAAACAGTAAATGACATGAAACGCTTTTCGAATGTTTTACAGCAAAACAAGCTTAAGTCGTGGAATCTTCATTCAACCCTTAAGCGAAAATTTTGTCTAAAATTTCGTAGAGTGCCTCATATTATTTGTTTTTTGTATGACGAATATGAATATATGTTTTACTTTGGTCATTAATATAATCAATTAAGAACTTATGATACTTCTTGTCTATGTTAGATCTTATCTATGAAGAAACTCTAAGCCAACTTTAACTTCTGTACTTCGGAAGATTCTGTACTTTGTTATAGCAACTCAGTATACGTGACATCTTTTCTAGAAACATACACTTATATGCATAAAGGAAATATAAGGGAAGGTTTAATCGTCTTTTTTGATTTGTTCACGAAATTAAATAAAAATGTTTTAGTAAAGAGATCTTTAAGAATTTCTGACTTTGCCTGGAACATATTTTTCATGATCAATCGATGCTTCTTGGAGAAAGACATGTAATGATCGTTCATTTTGAGCTAGTGGATGACCGGCGACTCTATAATGAATCAAAAACATTATAGACATGACTTAATATCAGCTTACAGCACATACTTATTAACAAATTGTTCAAGACCTTTTCGACGATCTTCAATAAAATCATCTTCAAATAGACCTTCATCTCGACGAAATGGAAGTTGTCGTTTCCATGCTTTACCTGGGAGTGATGGTACAACAATCTGAAAAAGGAATAAATAAAATATGCAAATTCTTGTAGAATAGCTCCATTTATTAGCTTTACCTTACTGTCACGTTCAAGTTCTTTTCTTAACCATTCAAAATCACTGTATCGTCGACGAGTAGTACATTCTTTTAAACGAAATACTGGTAAATTGGTTTTCATTCGTACTTCGTAATCAGTATATCGCTTTTGTCCGAACCCATGAGTTTCTGGATTTAGTACTTCAATCTCTAAAAAGTTGGTTGGTGGATCATATCTGTCTTCTAGTGAAATGGGACGAACTGGCAACCGTGCAATTTCTCGTCTATCAGTATCAATTGTAGTCATATTGGAATAAAAAAATTATATAAATCTATAAAGCAAAACTCCACTATTGGTAAAGAAAATGTACATTTCTTGAAACATGTTATTTTAAATCACGATAGGAAATCAGAATCGTATAACCATCCATCGTTAGTTTCTCGAATTGTATACGAATTTAAAAGCTAAGCTTCTGTTTTCCGCTACGTATCAATTCTTCAATCGATTTCCGGTTCTTTACTGTCATTTGCATCCTATTTAGAGTTGCCATCTTTTCGGCTGTTTAGATTTATCTCTGCCTTTTCTATTATCCTATCTGGATTGAATGCAACCACTTTTTATAGATTTTATTTTCTATTAGCACATCTATAAAGTGAATTCTCACGCTTCTTGAATCTGCTGGTTTGAAAATACATCTTCATTTCGGCTAATAGGTTTTTCCCTCATAAACGCATCGAGAAACGAAAAAAACTTTTCGTTTTTTTTTCCGCTTTTCGGACTTCTAAAGATTGCTCTTTAGATTGCCAACTGCAATAGAATTAGTCAGACAAAGTAATGAATGACTATGTGCGATACTTCCGAAAATCTAATGCAATGTGCATACTGTTTTTAATAGTAAAAATTTGGACAACTCGTTGGTAAACTGTGGAGATGCACTTTGCTCAAAATTCTTATTCAAAACACTAATAATGACGGAACTCTAAGCTTTCTGAAAACTTCCATAAATGAAGGTTGACAGAGGAGCAAACGACCGTCAGATCATATCGCAAACGGATGGGCATTTTATTTCTTTCTTTAACCTGTGATTTATAACCCAATATAAATTTATCCTTGAACCTTTATTCATTTGGTACGATTAATAGTCAAGGTGAGCTTTTATTATTAAGACTTATTTCCATGCCACTTACAATGAGGCTCCTCTTGACTTAAAATACTTATTATGTATTTGTTTATATTCTCAATTCTTATATTGATATATAATCATGCTCGATAGTTGAACAGTCTTGAAATACTGAGGCATATACTTTTACTCTATTTCTATCCTGTTGCAACTTTATTCACAAGCAAATGTATTATTTTTTCTGCTTATACACCTCGCGCCATCTATTGGTCTAAGTTCGTTGATGTTGAAAACCAAATCCAGTTGGTTGAAACGATTCGTGAATGAACTGTTTGTTTCATTCTATACTAGAAGTTTTTGCTCCACTGCATTGTTAGAAGTTACCTGTCTTTAACAGCTGCCAATAGCAGGTAACTTCAGCAGATGCAAAAAGCTAGCTAAAAGGCCAAGATGGCTACCCTAACCAACAGAAGGGCGTGTGGACGTCCATATTTTCTCTTGTAGGTTACATTAACGGAAAAAAAAATAAATGTAACAGGAACCACTTTTATAAAAAAAACTGAAGTTCGACTTAAGTGGACAAGGTAACGCTCGTTTTCGCTCGCTTGGTCCCTTGACTTTAGAAACTTATATTTGCGAACGATCTTCCATGACTGTCAATCGAAGACAACGCTCACACCTCCCTTCAGTCGGTGTTCGCTTGTGGACCATCTACAATATGTTATGAATATCTCTCTGATTTTATGTGTAAGCTTCGTAATCTAATATAAATCTAAAAGGTTTGCTCGAGACTCTCCAAAGGTTCACAGAGGTGTAAAACTACTTGTAAACACCAGACAATGCTCACGGCTCCCTTCGGTCGGGAAGCATTTTTGAGGGACTGACACTGGAACTAAGATTTCTTTTGACAGTTGCGTAAAATCAGCTAAAACTTGGCCTTTTCTCCATACTTAAATAAAAATATTGTAGAAAACCGTCAGGAAGTCTTACATTTTTTTTCTAGGCATTGAACTTTCATCCCACTTCATGCAAACTTTATTAAAAGCTGGGACCATAAAAACACTCCGGGACCGGGATCAAAAAAGTCTTTTTACCGGGACCGGACCGAAAAAGCCTTGATCCCGCCCATATCTACATCTGTCATAGTTCGCAAAGGTCTATTTTGTCTATCTTTAAATATTCGTTCCCTTCTCAATACTCTTGTCGCTAAAAGGGCTGCGATTGCCATTTTTAATTATTTTTACTTTGAATACTTTTAGAAATGATCCAACGTTTCTACAGAATTAAGTCTAATCTATTGACTTAAGTCACCCATTTAAGTGACTTAAGTTAAGCAAGAAACTAAGTATAACTTAAGTCAAAAATCACACTTAAGTTTTTTTATAAAACACGACTTTTTATCTTTTTCGACTCAAGTCATTTTTACATTTAAGTCACATGTAAGTTTTTTTATAAAGGGGCTCCAGAACTGTTTCTTCGGTATACAGCACGTGTCTCTTGTTTCGATTCAATTTCAAGGAAAGGAATTTTAAAAAAGGCTAGCATTCAGATCAAAAAGTATGCAAAAACGATAAAATGGCTACCGAAATAAAGCGATTTAATAAAACATAAAGAAATAAAAGTGTAGTGAAGTTGCTTTTATATTAAGAGCTATGAATGTTAAAATGAGTAGAGCAATTTTGACGTAGAAACGGTGTCATTATATCCAGACCTATGATACTCCTGGGTGTTCCATTTTCTATATAATATTTTATGGATTACGTTATTGATGATTTATTTTTCGATACTCAAAAACGAAAGAAAATTGTTTTTCTTTTCAACGTGAGTTTAGATATAGTCTGTGTGTATAAGAACAATAACAGACACGTGTATTAATAACACTGTGTTATTGAAGTTATCTACATTTAAAATAGCAAAAACACGGTGTCCGATGTATACAAGGCACTTCGTATATTTCGTAATGTGATGTGTAGACTATTTCTACTTGGTTTTTTGCAGTTCATTCTGTTTTTCTGGACTTTTTCAAAGTAGAGTTACTTGAAAGAAAGTAATTTGTAGAGTAAGTACACAGCAGTTTTAGTGAGTGAGAGGACAATGAGACATAAATCCTTGCCATTTGTATTGACGGAAAGTTGAACTTTTTGTCTTCAACCATTCTGGGTATTAAAAAACTGTCTTCTTCCTCAGAAGATATAAAGACCTTCTGAGTGTTTGCTCAATTAAGATGTTGACTACGAAAGATCTCAACATAAAAATGCACAGAACTGAGGAATGCAAGTAAAAGATTCATATCATACAAACATGAGTATCCTCGATGTAAGGTTACTTCGTCGTCGGTGACTTTTAGGATGTAGCGATGATCAGTTAAGGCTTATTTGACGCACAGAGGATTTTTCTTCATTCACAGGATACTAGATTGGCTCTAACAAGGAACTGGTATTGGGCTCAATATCTGGGGATACGCATTCTCCGAAAGTCCAAGCGTGAATGTTTTCTTTACAAATGACAAACGTTACCCTTTCGGTAACACTTATAGGCGAACCATTAAGGCATCAATCTGTCTTTATTTTGAGATCAAATACCAGTTATATGTTGAATTAAAACTAAGAAATACATGGGAGAAGTAAAAGAACTCTGAGATTGAAAATAACCATTAGAAACTTCTCCAAAGTTCAAAAAAAATAAAGATAATTCCTGTGACCAAGAGAGGATGAGAGAGCATGCAAAAATGAAAAACTGCTGTGTATTCATTTTAAGCTCAACGTCTAATACAGCGTTAGATGGATGATTCATCTTGATTGCATCGTGTTCCCGAAGAGAAAGCCGGGTAAAACACGATGAAAAGGGGATAAAAGATTGGCTCATCCGCTTTTCTCCTTTTTGACAAATTCTGTTTCATGATATGTTCTTAGAATGTCGTTGTTAGTATTTTTGGATACTTTGGTTTGTCTTAGATAAGCAAAAAAATTTCGAGTTTCTGAGGCCCAAGATCGCAGGTCTTTATCTGTTTATTAAAAGTTATATTTGAAAAAAATAATTAATACTATTTTGGTGAAAACCTGGAAGGTTTTTTAAATATCTACCGATGAATTTTTTAAGAGTTTACCGGTAAAAATACAGCCCTTTCATCGCGATGTCAATATTCACACCTGTTGAATGATGAATTATAGTCGTGTTTTTTTCTAAAACATAGTTTGTTTAAACTTCCAGAATATCTCTCACTGGTACATTCATCCAATTCAGCTCAAAAAAATGGTTAAAAAGATTCATTTTACTAGAAAATAGCTGCAAAGATATGTTTGTTTTGAAATTCGCTAAAATAACACAAAAAGTGATGAAGATTTTCGCTTGTTTTGGTCGAGTGTATGCTTCTTCTGAGTAGCAAAACAACCAAAATACAGATAAACATACAATCAATTGTTTTAAATGAATGGCCTTTCGTTCAGACACAAGAAGAATATAGTACCGTCCTTCAACCAGAAATGAGCAGTATGTAAAAGAAGATCTTTTTCAGTTGGTTTCTCTGAATCCGATAAATATTTTCTTTAGTTATGACGACTGAATCTCACAGTTTGAAAATATTCAAGAACTTCTGAATATCCCATCATTTCTCAAAGTTCTACATCTAGTGGAAACAACGATTACCAATCCGAGCCTTTCCGTTAAGTTCGTTCAGACGTGCACGTCTGATACGCTATACATGTATAGCGTATCTTTGCGGAATGAACAACTGTACGATGTCATCGAATCACATCGTCACATCACCGAAATCTGTTCACATCTCACCATCGTACTTCAGAATATGAATATCAAACTTGGACATTTCAACGAAAAATGGCCGTGTTACAAGCTGGAACACAAAAAAAAGTCGTCTTTTGATACTAATGTTTGATCGTGTTTCAATGACCCATATTCCCATCCTGATGAGGTCGCTACATATAGACATTGTTTTCTTGCGTTCTGTCTATGTAGTACACGCATTAATACGGCCAGCTTTCAGGCCGTTTGACGGTCAACACACAGCGCCATCACTCGGATATGAATATGCCTCATTACCGGCACAGCGCGCATTCATGATGATGATTTCGACGGTGTTGCTAGGCAGGTTTATTTCGTCTATGCAAAACTGTTACATGGACTGGCTCATACCTCTTTGGCTGGGTTAGGTCGTCAACTACCTGATGGTGATTACGACGCTCGATTTTCTTCTCCGGCTACGCATGCAGTGACCGGAGAAGCCGGCAATGCCATCAAGAGGTACTTTTTCGGTTCGATGACTGGTGCGATTGGTCGATATATCAATAAAGAAAAATCTATCTACAAAATTGAGCATGTTATTTTAAGAGAGAGAAGAAACAAGAGAAGAATTACAAATGCTTTTCTTTGATCATTGAACAAGACCCGTATTTGAACTTGATTTCACCGACTATAATCAAATTTTTCATTTTGTTCGATCTGTTTCGAACAAAATGATATAAGAAGGTAATTCTATTTAAATTCAGAACTCGCTCATCATGCACATGAAAATAAACATACGATCGACTTTGATAATGTTGAAACTCTTTCAAATCAAGGTAATTGGCAGCGACGGACTATCAACGAAAGGCATTTCCCTCATGAGAACTTTGATAAATCGTAGAATGACACTCAAAATAGCATATTCGGAATTAGGATAAAAAGCTGAGTATAGTAACGTATCTGTCGACATTTTAATTTGATTTTCATTTTTCGTGAAAATCTCAGTAATTTTCAACGTGAAAATTAGACAAAAACTAAAGTAGTCAACTAGAATGAAAATACATATTGGTCGACTCAGTTCTTGATCCTGATTCCGAATATGCTATTTTTATTACACAAAAGTTTAATTCTGATGGAGAAAATACAGAATTACGAGCAGAATTCTGGCTTTGCAGAAACATTTCTACTGTCAAGGTGCCCTAGGGCACTTTTTTCTCTATATTATATATATCAAATTGTAGCTCGACAAATTCCCTATTGAATGATATATTTATTGTAGTGGCTGGATGAGAAATGTTGAGATAGAATATCTGAGACTTTTTGCACATAAGAGATCGTTTTCCATGGCCAGAAGTATTTCTAAACATACTTATTCTGATAACGACTATTTCCGTATATGTGATATACAGAAATATAGCAAAGAAAAAGAGCTTTCGAATGATATACAATAGTCGTGAGGAATTGTGAAACTGAGAGAGGTAGATCCAAAAATACGATCTATATATATCAGATGCAGTAGCAACTAATCAAATTTGATTCGACCAATTTTTCCGAGTGATTCTAATGTCTAGTAAGTACATAGAAATATTCCCCTCTTCATTCTACATCTAGCCTTTGATTAGTCGATGAAATTCAGGCATGGGCCGATTTCACAGATAATCGCGTCTGCCCTTTGTGAAACTCGATTTTTAAACTTAAATGTACGAAATTTAACATGTCTCATTTATATTGCAGAGAATTACATTCTGAACACAACTTTTCTATTCACACTTTTGCTGAAAAATGCTTTGCCACAATTCCATTGGGAACGTAAAACTAAATTTTTTCGTGAACTCTTATCCGAAACAATGAAACTTTTTGGATATACCATAAATCGAACGAATGAAACCATTTTAGTTTATTTGACATAAATTAACAATAATAAACACGCAAAAAAACACAAAGTTGTAGATGACCATTAAAAAGTTTTCCCAAGAGTTAATTAATATATCCCTAATCGACACTCCTCAAGAAAGTCCCCAGGGACTCCCCGGGGATTCCGTAACGGGAGTCCCCAGGGATTTTTAGGGGAGTCCCTGGGGACTACCCTAAAAATCCCTGTAGATCTATTGGTCCATCTGTTTTCATATAATTTCATATAAATAATTAGTAATTAAGTGCTAGGTACCATCACTGGTACCAGTGTAGCATATATCAGCCATCGAAGGTTGACGCATTAATGTTGGCTTACTAGAAGAAAATTCGTAAAATTTTATCATAGACCTATATTATATTTATATATTGTCTATCTGCAAAACAAACGGTGAATGGGGAGTTGGCAGGGACTCCCCGGGGATTGTATATGTTGGGGACTCCCTGGGGAGTATGAGGGTGACTCCCTAGGGACTCCCCGGGGAGTACACATTTTTAGGGACTCCCCAGGGACTTGGAGGGGGACTCCCTGGGGAGTCCCCGGGGATTATGCATTTTTCGGGGAGTCCCCGGGGACTTTCAGGGGGAGAGTCGACTAGGGATAGGTGTTTTTTTGGAATTACATTCGACGATGGAGCAGGTTTTCCATTTGATAACATAACGTGATACAGGTAAACGAAAAACAAGGTAAAATTGAAATGAACGATCATTAATCGATGGCCTTATTGATGATAAAAGATTAAAATTGAGAAAGTAACAGCACTTGCTATAACTATAACGCTTTGTGACTGTGAAATTTGATAGACGAATATTAAGAAGTAGTGTGGTTTGTTTATATTAAAAGCAACTATTTTTCTAAATTTTGTAAAAGTAGAGCATGATGGTAAGGTAGATTTTCTCTATTTCGGGATATATATTTTATTTTATTCACTTTACTTAGATATTACTGTCTGCTATTATATGAAGAAATCATCTAGTATATGAAAATTATTTTGATATTCATATCACTGCTGCTGGATCTAGTTTTATTGACTTTTTCATCGCTCTGATCAATTTTCAAAAACAGGAGAACTCGTTCATCTTTGCTATTTATTTAGTTACATTTATTTTGTTAGGAACCAGCGACACTCGTCGTTTATTCTGATTTGTTCAATACATTCGAATAAAGGAGTTAATATGGCAACTTTTTTTAGTCAACATTAAACTTTCATTAAAATGTTTTTCATTAATGTAAGCGCCAATGTCAACATAAATCACATTGATACTGGCGCTTAATAAAAGAAAGTTTGATAAAAGCGTGTTATCTTGAAAACTTTTTTTAAATTTATCTGTAACGTAGTTATCTGATGAGTAGAAACACCAATTCTAGAGTCTCGATAATTTTTTATTGATTTTTACAAGTAGTTGATGGATTAGAAAAGACTGGGAGACACATTAGTGCTTCATTTTTAGAGTTTCTTTCATTGGTCTGTTACTGAAAAGGTCGGTAAAAAATTGCCGGCACTAGTCGAAACTAGTCCCGTTTATCTCTAATCAATTCTCTCCCCACAGAACTTGTATGTACTGCATGACCTAATCGACCAAGGAGAAGACGATGTATAAGATGAAAACGGACACATTAACATGTTCTCTATACTATTTAATGATTCAAGTATTTTTTCATTTTGGGGTTAGTTTGTTCTTCTGCTTCACGTTTTGAGCAAACTATAAAATGTATTCTATAAACTCGCATGGAAACTGACCATACTAATGAGCTTCTCTTACGTTTAGTATGAAGCAAAGAATAAAATATTAAATAGCAGTAGTACTACACAATGCATCATATACAGAAACTCCTCTTTAGTGGAGGAAAGAAGTGTTAGAATTAGTTAGGACTTTCCTAAAGTTTTAATATGTACTGCTATAGATGTTTTGAACGCAAAAGATATTCGAAATATCTGGTAATAGAGCTAATTGTATTAATTAGTAACAACTCAACATTTTTTCTTTTCAGATAGACAAGTATATTTTATACTGTAGTCAAATTAGTTATTGATGCGGAAGAAGGTTTGTGCTCTTCTAGAAGTATTGCAATGAAATTATTAGATAAACTAGTTTTATTTAGGTTTTATTAATGGGGAAAAGTGGTGGCGGCAAAACGTCAATGCGTTCAATTATATTCGCTAATTATAGTGCAAAAGATACACGTCGTTTGGCGGCCACAAGTAAGATGATTCTGCTATTATAAATGTTAATTCTGAACAGATAGTTTGATGTCTTATTAATGTTTTCCATATTTTAGTGGATGTTGAACAAGCATATGTTCGGTTTTTAGGCAATTTAATTTTGAACCTGTGGGATTGTGGAGGGTAAGTGTTTTTTCTGACTTATTAGAAAGCAAACATTTTTATTAACGTTTATTATAGTCAAGAAGCATTCATGGAATGTTATTTTGCGACCCAAAAAGACAATATATTTAAAAATGTTGAAGTGCTCATTTATGTATTCGATGTTCAAAGTCAGGAAATGGACAAAGATATGCATTATTATCAGTCGTGTTTAGAATCTATTCTGCAGGTAGTTAAAAAAGTCTTTTTTCCATAAAGAAGTTACACAATAGAAAAAATTTCTCCTTGTTTCTTCCCTTTGTGCATTTACCAGTACACTGTAATTTTGTGTTTCACATGTGTTAGCATTGACCTAAATGCCTACCTTTTCTTTATTCAAACATGTCACCGACATACAGACGTTGCTGTCGGATAAAGAGCGTGTTCTTTCTCTAAGTTGATTGATACCTGAATATAGATGCAACATGTAGTCCATCAAATTTTGGTAACTTTTGTATGTGGGTGACCTGTTTCAACAAAAGTAAGTCTATCACTTAGATGAATGAACACATACAAAATTAGATGATAACACAATTTAACAGTATACAAGCAGATTGTTTCTTTGAACTATTGCTTATATCTCACGAGGAAACCTCAGGTCTCAAGCTCCATGTTCAATAATCTTATGCCGGTTGATAGAGGAAGGTGTCCTAGTTAAAACCCTAAAATGATTTGTGCTAATGGTGCTTCTTTCAAGCGTTATGAACTTTTTTTATTACACTGGGAAAACAGGTACAGCAACACTAAAATTTTTGAATCTCGAAAAAAACAGCGAATTTGGAGCTGACATTTTTCTCTATGATTTTACTAGTGTCTGATTATCATCATAGAAAGAATCAGCGTTTCAGCCTCACCAGAAAATAATCTATCGAGTTTCCTTGTTTTTAAAGACAATCATGTTTTCCCAATAATTCATTTTTCTTTGCTCATGATTAATCATATGTGATTCTGTTAATGTTTCCTAATGAACAAGCTATCTTGTTTCTCCTCGCTCTCTATAATTTATTTAATTTGTTTGTTTCGGTGATGCAATTACTTCTCTTTGTGAATAACAGTTATTCCATCATTGTAATGGTTTGGTAAAATTGTTGGCCGATCATTTTTGTACCTGTTTTACCAACGAAACAAAAACAATTCATAAGTCTTGAAAGAAGTACCATGAGCATAAATCCTTTTAGGGTTTTAACTAGAACACTTACCTCTATCAACTAGCATAAGATCATTGAAAATGGAGTTTGACACCTGGGCAGGTTCTCTCGTCAGAAGCAAAAATACTAGAGCCATAGTTAATAAGCAATGTTAACATTACTTATTTACTACGGCTCTAATGATGTTTCATATTCCAGCTACTAATGTTCTTTGATCACTGTTTTAACTAAACAAGAAGTGTGTTTTTTTCAATTAGTATTCACCACAATCAAAAGTATTTTGTCTTGTCCATAAAATGGATTTAATTCCCGACGATTTTCGTGACAAAGTAAAAGTTATTTTTTTGAACAGTTCAAGAACCTTATATTTCATTTTTCTACTTCAGGTTTTTACAGAACGTGAAGCAGTATTAAAAAATTTATCAAAACCGTTAGATTGTAGTTGTTTTCGTACATCAATTTGGGATGAAACATTGTATAAAGTTTGTATTTTAATCTTCTTTTATGCTATATACTGTGTTTTGTTTTTGTTGAATGCAATAGGCATGGTCACAGATCGTTCATCAACTCGTACCAAATGTCACTCGTTTAGAAAAAACGCTTAAAAATTTTGCTGAAATAATTGATGCTGATGAAATACTATTATTCGAAAAAGCCACATTTTTAGTACGTTGACAGATCAACAAGAGTTATTTATACCTCGTTGTTGTTGTTGCTTTACAGATTATATCGCATTGTACACGAAAACACCATCGCGATCCACAACGTTTTGAAAAAATAAGTGAAATAATTAAGCAATTTAAATTGAGCTGCAGGTAATACGTCGAATGTCAAGATTCATGAAATAGTTGACTATGTGTGTTATTTTAGTAAATTAGCAGCACAATTTCAATCGATGGAAGTTCGAAATTCGACATTTGCTTGTTTCATTGAATTATGTACACCAAACACATTTGTATTAGTTGTGATATCAGACCCAACTATATGTAAGTGATTTGTTTATTGGCAAATGCACATCATATCTCGATGTGTATTTAAAATAAAATTTGATTTATAATAAATTCTGTCTTTATTTTAGCCACAGAAGTAACATTGATGAATATTCGTAATGCCAGAAAAGTATTTGAAAAACTTGAAAAAGATGGTATAAAAACATGAACGAATTGAAATTATTTTAAACATAAATACATCATACAACATGTTTCAATTTATATTTGTTGTTAGCCGGTGAAAATGGATATCTTTGTTTCTTTCTGATGTGACTTTTTTCTCTACCTTATCTACCTCACATACCTATACGGAGAATACTTCTTTCAATATTACAGTATATCAATTTGTACAATGTCACATCTTTAGTTTTTTTTAATTGATCCAACGTATAATCAGATTTTTACTTAACGATTCGTAATTGTTTTGTTTTGCTCGTTAAAAACGGTTCGTTTCCAGAAAACAAACATGACAGGCGTTGTCATTTCGTATTCCAAATTCATGTATTTCTTTCACGAATTTTTTCTCGATCTTTTATTTAGTACGTCTTTCGAAGTGCCATTTGCCCGTTATTATTATTATTTTTTTTTGTACAAACATAGTATGTACGTTTTTTTTCATTCTTGTGATGTGATTAAAGCTTTTTTCTGCGTATTAAAAAAATTATATTTTGTGATTCGCTGCTTATTAATAGCGATTTATGAACAGAAATAAACTTTCTTCTTCTATCAGTTAGCTACGTTTTTTCAGATGTGTTTTTTTCATTGCTCTTTCTATTCCATGTACATTTCTGAGAATAACTGTCTTTTGTGTGTAGCCTATTTTTGGTCTATATTCTTTTTAATATCGATATATAGGATGTTGTTGCTCATTTTGTTTGTGCTCCGATTTTTATACCTTGTATTTTTCATATAGTATATTTTTTTTATTGAAGATTAATAAAACGCAAATCTAACTTATAGAATTTATATCTAATTTTTTTATATTAATAAGTCAATTAAGTATCATGTTATTGTAGTAGATCGAAATCTTTAGTCAACATAAGGAGAAAATTTGTAATTAGAAATACAGAAAGCGTGTTTATATAGAATGATGTCTTCATCGATATTACTGTGAATGATTTCAAATGGGCTGATCTCTCATCTTCATCTATCTATAGATGAAATAGCAACATAAATAATAGCATAATAATAATAATCTGCAATTCAAGTAGATATGTCTTTCCAAAATGTACGTATTTTCTTTCTGACACTGAATATTTTTCAATGAAACTAACGCTTAAGACTGTTAATAGAAAAAGCTGCACTTCTTGATTAAAAGTCTTTTATATTTACAACTAGCCAATAGTGTCTAAATAGATCTCGTCATATATGCAGCTGTTTTTTCTTGAGGCTGTGAGAATTATAAGAGCAACACAGTCTTAGAACTAAACGTTTTCAAGATCTACTCTAAAGTAAGGTATTTTTTTAGTGAAACAATAAAATTTACTGCTACAACATTATTTTTCCTCTTTATCGTACAAATACTGTTCGACCACTAATATAACATACATTGAAAAATTTCTGTATGTTATAATATCCATCATTGATGTATATCATGTAGACAATACGGAAAAACACATAAAAATAATTTCTTAATCTAATTCAATTTGAAACAAGTATACACATAAATTCTTATTTATTTTTTTATTGACATTATGTTATTAATTTCATTTGATTGTTGTTGTTGCTTATCTTTAAAATATGCTGTTGTTAGTGGAATTTTTGTATTTTTTTCAAATGTTTCATCCTTCTTTCCATCATCAATTGTATTATCAATATTATTATCCAATTCAGTAGTGCCTAATCGTATTATTAGTATGGTGATAGATCCGATAAAAAATATGACTTGAAACCAAGCGAAAACAATGGCAATTACCATATACGTATAAACATAACTGACCGTTGGATATTGTTCAAAATACATTAAATTTATCTGTGAACAATGTTGATATTGATTATAATGCAAATTTCTGACAATACTCGAACAAAACAGTTGGAAACCATTTGTTAATACACAAGCATTCACTAATGATAAAATACCCAAAATAGTTGAAATTATGAACCTATGAAGAAAAAAAATGAATGGAGTTATTTCAATATTTTGTGTAGAAATTGGTACCTACCATGGCCAAAGCAAATTTGTATCATTTGTTAATATAATTCTATGGTCAGCATTGAATAATACGAAGAAGAAACATGTTACAATGCAGTAAATGAATACGAATACACAATAAAATATACAAAATTCACAGACATTTTTAGAACCAAATATTGTTTTCGCACTATCTAAATGTACGGTATAATTTGTTTTAATTTCGTCTGTTATCTCATAATCGAATATTGAGTATAACAGGCATTGTTGCTTAAATTGGATTGAATTATAGCCAATAATCAGAAATATTGTAAAACTTATTAAAGCAATAAAACAGGTGAATAGTAAAAATATTACACGTAAACGTTCATTCGAAACTGGAAATGAAATAGACTTCGGTAAATGCACATAACGTAAAAAAAAACATTTTTTTTGTTTGGAATTTGTTGACGTTGCAGTATTAGACGATTTTGTTCTCGATAGTTTATGAATTGTATCTCCAAGAACGAGTCCAACTTCAGTGAATAAGGAGGATCGTCGTCTACTGTCTGACATGTTTAATGATGGTTCATTATTTGAAGATGTTGATGATTCACGTGCATCGAACGATGCCATTTGTAATAATTGCTTACAATCATCACTTTTAGTATTTTTAATTGATGGCATTAATTGAATGACTGAAAGAAGTAGAAATGAACGATGTGTTCAGTGTGTGCAGAGAAAATGAATTTGAATAAAAAGTATAGACACATATACTCCGATGCTGCTCAAATTCTAGAATTCGAATAACTCGAATTTTTACATCAGAATATTTTGTACTTGTTCTGTACAAAATTCTAATTTTTGGCTAAAAATTTGAAACCATGTAATAAGGAGCTAGTTCTAAGAAAAAATTATGCTAAAAAAGAGTAATATGATTACCTAAGTTTAGATTTCTAATAACTATTCTGTTCGAGGATAATAAATCAATGCCACGTTATAATCAGTAGAGACCTTTACTTATTTTCATATAATAAATACTACTCCATTAATCTCATCCAACTAATTTCAAAGCAAAACGTTTGACTTAAAACATCTTATATATTCTTGATTTCTATACTGTTCACAGCTGCTGTCTCATCTTATAGTGTGTAAACAGACGGTATAAACTAAACGAACATTTCTTAGTAAATAGAATAGAAGCAGAAATGTGACATCGTACTCTTTCTTTTCTTTAAAACAAATGGTGATCAGCTAAGTGGAAAAGAACGATGTTTTTTCATGGAATGAAAAACGAAAAAAAAAGAACTATCCCACTATACTAAACATATATTATCTTTAGTCTCTACGAATCACAGTTTGTTTGACATCTACAAACATGTTATGCGAGAGAGAAACACACGTTGATACCGTCTGTGGAAATGACATATCTTTAGTTATATTTCCTTTTTAGACTATATCATTTCTTCTACTTGTTCTATGTTTCTATTTAATTTAACAAAAAAAAGTCTACACATCCGTCTAACTAGCACCTGCGTTTAAGTCAATTGAGACAAAGTGTATCTAGTATTAGATATTCTCGTCGAATATCATAGTTACAATATACTTGACATCAACAAATAGTTCAACTTTGATCGGTAACACTACAACGATAGATGGGTACTTTTCTGCAACAACTTCGAGCGGTTTTTTCATGCAAACAATCAGCGATGCATGAACATAGTAGTTTATAATCTTTATTTTCTCATTAGTGGAAGAATAGAGCGTTGTAACACAACTAAAATTTTCTTATCATTTATTTGGCACTGGATTCTTCGCAGGCTAGTGCAAGATAACTCTTATACTCTGATAAAGAAAGAAGTAAAAATAAATCTGTATAAAATTAATTTTTAGTCGTTAGAGCCAGTTTAAAATAATGTAAGAAGTATGAAAATTCTAAAACTGTTTAATTGAATATCTTAGTACGTTTTAGTATTTACTATGACTTAATTCGATTGAGAAAAGAATATTAGGTATGTTAGATACTGCAAAATATTAGATAAATAACTACTTTTCGGTTAAACAAGATGCTGTTTTATTCATCACAAAAAACAAGTGTTCTTAAATAATAATTATTTTCCCAGGTAATCTAAAGTAATTCGGTAGTTAACAAAAACTTGTGAACTTTATTTTTGTATTTACAGTTATGATAAAGGGTCGGACAGAAAGTAAGATTACATCTGAAGACTTTTTATCCTCCTTTGATCATAGAGTAGTACGAACAGTGAGAGATTAATTTAATAGGTCAGAAATAGGGTCTCTAATTTCCCAATCTTCGTTCGTATTAGTGTTATACAACCTAATTTGATGTAAAGATGTGCTTTAATCTTGTTAACTATACCAAAAAAATCTTATTTCTCATTTTCTAGATATTGTCATACATTTTTATAGTTTATTCTGAAGATGAATAATAGGTAATCAACGGCTAGTTATTTGATTGTTGTTTTTGTTCAAAACATGTTATTTCTAGTAATTTCAGTTCAGAAGACAAGCATAGTCAATACATGTGAGCAAATAAAGTTGGTACGGAAAGCTCTATTTCTAGTTTCAATATGTCGTTTCAGTGAATTGAACAGTAATGAAAAGAAAAGTGCACATTTAATTTCGGGATATGATGTTGAAATACATCTAAGTAATCTGAAAACTGTTGTGAATGAAGCAAATTTTACAAATAATCAGGTTATAAAACAACGCATTTGCTCTTCCAATGAGCTAGCTATTCATACATATCTTTGTTTCTATGTTTCAGGTTTATTCTCAAACTATCCTCAACCATGATTGGGAAGAAAAATATCATCTGGGCAACATTGTTGCAGTCACTGGCGAATATGTTGCATATGCCGTCAAAGGTATGTATGACATCTTACATTGATGACAATGTTTGACAAACTCTGCTTAAATAGAAGAACCAAATACTGCTTTCTGAACAAACAAATAGTAAAAGTGATCTCAGTTTTCTCCCTATATTTATAGTTCAAACCGGAGACGATGTTATTTGTGTATTTCATAAACAACTGGAATTTCGTTTTATTATCAATCCACCTTTTAGTGGATGTATTACAGATTTAGCATTTTCATTTTGTGATGATGTATTATTAGCTTGTATTGATGACGCAAATCGTTTGAGAATATATCGAATTGAAAAAGTTGATACAATATCGAAGTATCCTTTTTATAAAAATAAATCTAAATTCATTAATTTTTATGCACGAAGAAAAAGGAATGTTTTTCTTAATTCTATTCTATTGGCATTCGTTGATACTTTGTGTTGATTTATTATCGTCAACAAAATCGGCTAATAAATTATCATGGTGTTGTTTTATACCAGATAACAATGATGTGGATGAAAACGATCCAATTAACGATGCGCACACGTTGCTAGCTGTAACCAGTGGATCAAAGGTAAGAATATTATCTGTATACTTTTGTCAGACTCCTCTCCATAATTCCATAGTAGAGAGGTGTTGAGGTTATATACTCGAAATCCTGTAGTTTTTGGTGTTTTTTTAACCACACATCCTACTCTAGCAGGTCTGCAGTCTTTTGGCATCAAATTCAGAGTGGAAACGTTGATCTTTTCAACCTTGCAGAATAACTTTTAAAACTTCGTTCTAAGCTTAAAAGAAGAAGAATTTTGTCTAATATTTAATGATATGCTTCGGTTAAAATATATCGTTATGTTTTCTTTTGAAATAGTAAACTCCGTCAAAAAATATTGCTACTACCTGGAAAGTAGCCTGTTTTTTTTAAGCGGATTTTTCTACCATGTATAGCCATAAAAATGATCATTCAGGTACCAAAAAATTCAACTTTCTACACTCTACAAAATCCTATGAACGAGATAAAATAATAACATTTAGTTTTGTTACAAAAGAGAGTAACAAAATGTTTGAAAAGCTAAGCATTTTTTGTATAAGATTTAAATGGTAACAGTCCAGTTACAAATTTTTCTGTAGACTAGAATATCAAAAATGTTTTTGCACGTGTTATCAATATGCTCGGTTCAAGAAGCCACAGTCGTATAGTGGAAAAAATCCTGTTCGAATAAAAATAGGGTAGTTTTAGGGGGAAGCCACTATTTCAGAAGTTTTAAAGAAAACATAACGATATATTTTAACCGAAGCCTGTCATTAAATATTAGACGAAATTTTGCGTCTTTTAAGCCTAGAACGAAGTTTTAAAAGTTATTCTACAAGGTTGAGAAGACCAAAATTTTTCACCTTGAATTTGACGCCAAAGAACTGTAGTATTCATCTTAAAACGCACCAGTATTCAACGTAAATTATAACTAAACGAAAATGTTATTAGCAACTGAATAATCAAGGTTACAAAATAAATCAGACTTGAACCATTAAGTCAAAAAATAAAGATTAATTAATTTTTTATGAGGTATGTCATTTAAACTGTTAAATGCAGAGTATAGGAATTTTCCAATTTTAGTCCCAATAGGGACTGCCGCTGATAAGGTTTTGGGTTATTATCCTATATTTTTTCCATTTCAGGTTGAATTATTGAATGTCGCTGTGGCTTCTCAATCCTACATTAGTGAGACAATCTTGACATTAAATCAGATTGAAAACGGACATTTAACATATGAAGATAATCAAGGAGTAAGTTAATTTTTGTTTTAACTATTCAATTTGATCTAGAACAGATCTATTTCTTTTCTAGCTTGTGACATGTGTCTGTTTTTCACCAGATGGTACAGCAATTGGAACAGGTACAGATACGGGAGAAATTAAATTTTTTTCGATCAGTTTCGATCAACCTAACTCATGCAGGTAGATCATCTTTATTAGTAGAAGAAACGTCTTTGTCGTTGAAAACGTTACTGTTATTTAGATGTCTTCACTGCTGGATACCACATGATGGTCGTCCCATTAGTTGTTTGTATTTTCTTGACGATCATAAAAATTTAACACAGGAGTAAGTTTACAGTGGAAAAAGAGAAAATATCTTTCATAATTTATCGTCAATTATTTAGTACACAATTATGGCGTTATGCTATATCTGGTTGCGATTTCAATAGTGAATTAAAAATTTGGATTTGTACGAATTGGTGTTGCCTTCAAACTATTCGGTAAAATTATAATTTAAATAGTTACTTTAAAAATATCATAAATAATTTAATATTTTAGATTTCAGTATTCACTTATTGAATCATCCCACTTACATTCTCAATCAAAGCCTATATTGAAATCATCAATTGATTTAACATCACGTTTTCTTGTTTTATCAGATATCAATCGAAAAGTGAGATTAAACTTATTAGATATTTGGATGTTATTTTATCTTATTTTAGTGTATATACGTTTTAACCATTCATCAAGATGTTGATCAAATTCGAGCTGGATTCACTTCAGTCAATGAATTTTTAGTAAAAGCTCCAGCATTAAGTTTTGCAATAACGGCTGCCGATCGTTTAAATCGAAAAAAATTTTTAGAACAATCACATCAACAAAGTACATGTGTCTGATGCAATTTTTGTCAACATTCATCGATATTTATTTTAGACGAAAATAGCATGGCTACTTATGCCGTAAAATTGTACAGTATTCATACAAAGTATATACTGTTTGTTTAACTTTATAAATTCTTGAAAATTTTATTTTATCTTGTTATTTTTCAGATTTTTTCAAGAATTGCTTGTAATATTTGAAACTAAAAATTTCACAGGTAATACTGTTAGACTACTGTCACCTATAGTTCATAATCATCATACATCAAATGCATTCAATAATAATTCTCCACTAATTATTGATGATATAATGGATGGTAAGAGTCTAAAAATTGTTGTTTTTATTCATATTATCTTGTTTTTCTTTCTTTTTAGATTTTCGTTTTGATTCCAATCGTTCCCATTTGATCACAGGAGATCCATCATCGTTTCCTCCATCTCATTCGTCGGATAGATTACGATTAGTAGGAGATCTGATGACTATGCCAAAGTATGTTCATATATATTCGATATTTTTTGTGTTATATAAGCGTTCTTTTTTTGATGATTTCTTTAGTTACAGTATCGACGATCTTCTTACACCAAATAGTTCATTGACAAACGTCACAAGGGATACAATACGTTCAATTTTGACAACAGATGGATTGAACAATGGTATGCACATTTCAACAACGTCGATGAGTGATCTAATACAAAGTTTACTGCTAGGTAGTACAACTGCGTTCGATCCCATACAGCGATCTGTTCATCATCAAACACCGTTAACATCTCCACAACAACAAATAACTGCGACAAATTCACAATTATTAAATAATGAAATTTATCCACATGGTCTTATTCAAACAACAACAGCAACAGATACTATCAATAAAACAACGAAACTCAACGGTAGACTATGTCCAATATATTTTTAAAAAAAAAACGATTCCTTTCGTACTCGTTTAGGATGCGCAACATCATCGTTCGATTTAGATACTAAAGTTGCTAAAAGTATGATAGGTACAACACATTATGAACACCAGTTTGATACTTGTAGGTATTATAGTTTATGCTTTTTTATTGGAAGTGTACCTTTAATCTACCTATATGTTCTAGTAGTGGATGATACTGACGATGTAGATAATGTATTTTTGCCAATAAAAACAAACGACGACGATGAATTTGTTCAATTAGATGAAAATGGACAGGTATACTCCTACTAAACAATAATTCAATCGGATTAGCACCCTTTTTCAGTTAAAATAAATGTACAGTGCAGATATCAATTGTGTAATCATTCTTGATTTGTGTCCTGCGTAAAAACATTGTGAAGTGAAAGATTTTTTTAGCAAAAAGTCTATGATACACGGATTTGATTTGATTTTTTTTTACATCTAGGTAAATGAATCGTGTACACAAGGTCCTCTCTTATCACAGCAGAACTACGGTGAGGCTTCATTATGGTCAAAATCGTGTCATTCTCGCAATGAAAGTCCAATGAAGTATAAAAATATTGCTCAATTTTTTTGTTCAAAAACGTAGATGTGTTCCCTTTTGTAGAGGCATAAACGCATCAGGTCGACAAGCAATGAATGATTTTAGTGCTACTGAGACAAGGTATAGTATAGTTGAGTTATACAATGAATCCCAAAATTAGTCAAAAACTCTTTATTCAGTCAAGAAGTCAGTTGACTTCAAGACTCTATTTGATAAAGACGCTGATTAGTTAATTGCACGATTGTATCTGATGGGATCCTGCCGTTATAATGCATCGGTGCGATACTATTGCTCGCTGAAATTTTAGCGGAAACTGCCTCCGATTGGAATTAAAGAATATATGGATAGTTTAGGGATTTTAATGAAGTTTTGATATACACATCGTCTAACCGGAAACACTTTCGACTGCTCGAATCACTTTCTGACTTTCTAAGATCTATCACGGTCTGGAAAAACAAAAATTGTTGAATATTTTTGGGACTGACTAAATCTAAATAATTTAAATTTTGAATCTTAATCTTCAAGTGACAAAGATGATGATTCAACAGCTGATGAAGAAGAACAACAACCGCAAACTCATCCAAGAATAAAACGTCGTGGAAGATCACCAAATTCAATTCTTCCATTACAAACAGGATCTGTTGGAAGTGAAGTACGAGATTTATATTCATTGTATTTCGATTATTTATTGTAAGATCTTTCGCTTTTAGACATTGCATGCTATTCGAGAATTATCTAGTCAATTAAATTCATTTCGTTCAAATTATCCTATTCAGCCGCCGCCTCCAACATCTTCCTCAACAACAACATCGGCAGCAATACACACTCAAGATCACGGAGAAAAACTCGAACGATGTTGTCAACGAATTGAACAATTATCAAATAAATTTGATCGATTTGCAATATTTGACCAGCAGCAAATAGCAGGTATAATACAGAAGTCGATAGTGAAGTATTTTTTGTTCGTCTGTTGTGCCTGTCCCACACACTCTCTTCATCGCTCTCTTCGTCGCTCTATTCGGGGCCAGAAGAATAAAACAGGTATCTCACAGAGATCTCTACCTTTTTCGGATATTTCAAAATTAATGTTATGTAACAACGATTTTATTTCTAGGTTCTAACATCCATTCTTTGTTGTCCACGAGATCTAATTTTGATAACAATGCTAATTCAAATGGCGATTCTATCAATGGCGATTTAAAGTTGACGGATGTACATTATGCTCGTCTAGAAAACATATTAGTCGACAAAATTCAAGCTTATGTTCAAGGAGGTATATTATTGTTTATAACGAGTACACACATTAACTAGTGTTACTATGCGCATAAATTAGCAAACTAGTCATGTAGAAAGCGCTAGAAGCTTGGAATGGTACAGTAGAGCTTTTCTGCTGTGTAAAACCCCCTTGGAAAGAGAGGACGTTACTCTCACCGTAAAAATGATCTTTTCAAAATGCATAAGTCAGTGACGGACCTAGGAGATTTTTGAGGGAAGAGAGAGGAACATTCAGAAAGAAGTTCATCAGAAGCAGTTTGAGTAAGGATTTTTCGTATTGTTTTAGTTCTGCTACTTTTTTTGGAGAGTTCTTGGAGTTCACTATATAAACTATTTAACGAGGAGTAGCTCTTACAGAAATTTTCTGAAGTGATGGGCCACCTGTTCGCTCACCTTAATCCGCTACTGTCTCAAGTGGTTGTAAAAGCATAGGGTTCAAAAATACAATTTTTGTAAGTTTCATTCTTAGTACTATACGATACAGTTCCTGAAAGCGGACAGTTTGGAACACAGTTCGAAGCCGGACCTGTTTACTAATATTTTTAACTGTATACCAATTATACCACATTTCAAAGCCAGTACTGTTAAATGATTCCACCAAAATTACGTCTGAATTGTGTTGCTCTTGTTATTTGAAGTATACATAAAATATACAAATTCTGTGCATTTTTGAAGATTTCTCTTACATTTCTATCCTTCACTTTATCATCACTGTATAAGATAGAGAACTATTTCAGTTACAATTAAATCAATCAGAGGTGAACGCTATGGTATGTTTATCTGTATATATATATATATATATTTCTAGCTGTAAAAGCTGTTTTTGAGCCATATAAAGATTTGAAAGACAATTTACACAAAGATCTTGCTCATAAATTGTTAGCAACTGATAATGTAATTAAATCAACAATGACACAAATATTTCGATCAAAAGTAAGGACACGTTAGACTACTAAAAACACGAAAAAAATTTTACTGGTCTTTTTAGACAATGATTGATTCATTATCTAATGCGGTTGCCGGTGCTGTTCAATCAACAATGATTTCGACTTATCGTGATGCATTTAATCAAATTGTGATACCATCATTTGAAAAAGCTGCACTTAATATGTTTCAACAATGTAATGAAGCATTTAAAAAAGGAACAAAAGAATGTAAGCATCGTATAAAACTCGTTACCGAAATAATGACTACCATAACGCTATCTTTTCTATTTATATAATTCAGATATACAAGAAATGGCTGAAAACAGTCGTCAGCAACAACGTTCATTACAACAGCAACGTGAACAAATGTTATCTGAAATTAGAAAAGAGACAACAACTTTGCTTAAAGATTTTGAACATAAATGTGAAGAACTTTGTCTGATGGTTAAAAATGATCTTAATCAATATATGGCAACAAATTTAACATCAATGTATGTTGTTTTTGATTTTCTTGGTATTTTATAAGTTACCTTCTTTCATTCACTAATTTTTTTTTTTCTATTTAGTATACGTGAAACATCTCAAACCGTTCTAAAAGTTGAAATGTCATTATTGTTACGTGAATCATTTGCTAATCAAAAAAACGATATTAATAATCTTCTACTCCAACATTTTCAACGACATCAACAACAGCTACAACGATCTCAACCATCTCCACAACAAACTGTTCCATCTAAATCTCGATCAGTTGCTAGTCGTACAACCACACCATTACCTGTTTTAAATGATAATCAACAACAACAGTACGAAACAAAACAGCAGCACGTTTTGAATCTTGTTCGACATGCACAATTAAATCAAGCATTCGAATTTGTAAGTTCTACTATAGAGATCTAAGATATATCAATCTATGTTTTTCTTTCTAAGGCATTGTCTGCTGGCGATTTGAATCTTGTCATGTTTTTATGTGAAAATGTTCGTCCATCTCAATTATTTTCTCTTCATCCACTTCCGTTAGAAACACCCGTTCTATTATCATTAATACAGCAATTAGCTGCAGATTTAGGCCATCATCAAGAATTAAAATACAAGTAAGTTTAATACTCTCATATTCTACTTATCAATTTAATGTATGTTGTTAATCTTTGTAGTTATCTTCAAGAAGCTCTCATCTGTCTTGATTTATCTCATCCCAGTGTTAGAGAATTTTTACACACTGTTTTAATCGACTTGAATACCAGACTTTATGCTTATATTCAGACAAATTCAACAACACCTATGGCAAAAAAATTCCAGTTGTTATTAATGGCTTCTCAAGGACTTGTACAGCGAATAGCACAACAACGAGCGACTCCTGCTCTTCCTCAACCAACAAAATCTTCTGTTTAATTCGGTTTCTTCTTTTCTCCTTCTTTATTCATTTTTTTCCCTCCTTATTCTTAAATATATAAAACTGAAAACTGTTATGTACAAATCAAATTTTATATGTGTCTTGGTTATTCAAATATTTTTTATTTGTTTCTTTTTCTAAAAATCTCTGGCTTTTTGTATTTTGATACGAAAAAAAACAAAACTTTTCCCAAGTTACTTACTACTTGTGGTAAAGCAGAATGGTATAAAAGTGGTATACCTTTACTGTTTCGTTTTGTCAATGGCATGATTGCGTGTACGAGCCGTTTTCTCCTGCTTTTGACAAAAACATGTTTGATAATCGTAGATTGTATATGAAACGTTTTTTGTTTGTTTGTTCGTTATTTCGTTTTATTTTCATATGCTGCGCCATCGTATTATCATTTTGTTTCAATTTTTTCTTGTCGTTGTCCTAAATGAAACAACCGAATTAATGACGGCTTGTTAATAAAATGAACCTGAGAAATGTCATAGTTTCGTGAGCTAACAAGAGACCACAAATTAACTTTATTCTTATAGTGAGTTATTGATGAGTCTTGTTGATTTATTTGATTTTCTTTAAACTAAACTGAATGATTGTAAAAGTCCCGTTTTATTGAATATTAGTCTGACATCTTTTACATTAAAAGTCTCAGCCAATATTACTTCATTTAAGTTCATAATCTCATTATTGATATTCTAGATAATTAGCAAGATAAAGGCTTATGACCTCGATAAAATATAAGTAAGAAAAAACTATCAAACTACATTGTCTTTAGCTGGAAGTGATGATGCTATTTATCGATCTAATGTTTTTTTTGCAGTGTTACAATGATTTTGACTGACATCTATACGTACACATCTTTTACTTGTCATCATATTAGTAACTAAACATATTCAACACATATTATCCAATTATGTCTGATGCCGTATCTGAGAATGTTTATATTAAACCTGTTCAAGTTACTTATGACATTGACTGGAACATGTTAAATAAAAAATTATATTTTCCATTATCATTATTATCAACATTTACTGTTCGATGTTTATTATATCCATTTACTCTTGTTCGAACGAGACTACAGGTACAAGTTCAACAATCAATTTACAATGGAACATGGGATGCATTGAAAACAACTGTTAAATTAGAAGGATTTAATTCATTATATAGAGGCTTTTGGATCTACAGTTATCATTTGATACCTGGTAAAATCTGTCTATTTGTTACATTTTAGATCATAGAAATTCTACCATCTTTTACAATTTAGGTATTTTGTATATTACAACATTTGAAGCCACAAGACTGCAAGCATCAAACATATCATCTAATACATATATTAAAAGCGCTGTTGGAGGAGGTTTTGCAAGTCTTACTAGTCAAGTTTTAGCTGTTCCAATAGACATTGTTAGTCAGCATATGATGCTCGTTGGTTTAACAGGTAAGTCTATGTCACATAAAATTTCTGTATTACTCCACAGAAGCTTTTTATAAACTAAACGAAGTCTTTCTTGTCTAATCTTAAATATCTGAAGATAGTAGATTGAAATCATATTTGTTTTTATTGTCAAATTTGTATTTAACATCAATTTTAAGCACCATCAAAACTAACAAAAACGAATTTGGGAACAGTATCAGCAACCGAATCATCTAATAAATTCAATCATCGTCAAATCAATCGGATACATGTACCAAACGAAATACGTTCGAATAATTATCGAATATTCAAACATATATGTCATACGCTACTGAAGAAGTATAAACAGGATGGAAAAATATCGAGTGCTATAAAACCATTTTATAGAGGTTATTTATTATCAACTGCGTTATTCAGTTTGACTTCGAGTATTTGGTGGCCTGCTTACTATTTTTATCAAAATCAGCTATTAAAACTTGATGAATTTTATTTACCATTAATTATTATACAATGTATATCTGGACCATTATCTTCGTTAACTTCAACATTATTGACAAACCCATTGGACGTATGTCGAACTCGTATACAGGTGGATAAAGAGAAACGTCCCTATGGACATGTTATAAAACAATTATGGAAAGAAGAACGTATGTCAATTTTTACCAAAGGATTGACAGCGAGACTAACACATTCATGTGTCTATTCTCTCTTTGTCATATTTGGATATGAAACAGTAAAACGTGTTTCATTAAAAGACGAATATAAATCATACGTTAGATGGTAGTTGATTTTAATTTGAATATGAACAGTACATGACAAAAACAGCTAGCTTATCAATCATTTTTTGACAGTCCGTCGACATCGTTTTACTCCAGTAAAGTACTATCCACTTCGAAATAGAATATCGCTATCTAAATAACTTTTGACTGAACTGTTGATTACAGAGACCTATTTTATTGCACTTTTTTTGAGTAAAATAATCTGTCTTTAAAAATATTATTATATTTGCTCTTTGTACAAGTATATCTGATGTAGAACGATTCAGCTGAATTCGTGAAGTTATTCAGAAGAGAGTACATTTTATTTTGAAATTGATAGTAGTATACACAATGATATTTTAATAACTTTGTCTGTTTTTTTTTAAATAAAATCATATTTCTATCGTCTATTCAGAAATTTTTATTAGAATAACCAATCAAAAATGCAAGATTTATTTCTGTTGTAGAATAGTAGTGATTGATCTTACGATAGTGTATATATATATATATATATTCATTAAGAAAACGATTTTGTCTTTCATAATTGTTTGATCAACATGTTATCATATGATAAATTTCTTGATAGCATGATAAATATTTATTTTTCTTCGTTTTAATATTTCTTTCCATTCTAAATATATTTTTTGTTCATTATTTGTGTTTAAAATCATTTTATTTTGTTTCGTGTACAGTTATTTTGTGAAGAAAATAAATTAACTTTGGCTCTTACATTCAATTTTACCATATATCCCATTGAAAATGGTTGTAAAATATGTTAATATTTACAAATATTTTTATGATCACATGAATATTTAGATTTAGAAAATTGTCTATTTTTTTCTGCTTCAGAAAATTGTACAGAGATAGCAAACTATTTAAAAAATGAACGTTATGCACATAAGCCGTGTCAAAACAAATATCTTGGTTGAACTGCTTAAAATAATCCTTGTACTTTATCTGATATAGACGAGTTGTTGATGACGCCATTATCTTATTTTTGGAATAAAGCAATTATTTCTGCACTAGGAAGATTGCGCGTTGAGGAAAAAAATAACGCTCAGTTAATCAAGTATTTTAATTTTCAGATCTGCCTAAGAGAGGGGCGTTGAACAACAATAAATGTCAGTCGTGAACGGTACATTTGTCAACAAATTTTTATTATTTCACCTGCTCTAAGACATATTTTCAGACAGACACTTTCACTGAGGTAAATTTTAATAGTATTTCTCCTGAACAACATTTTAACAGAGAATCTAGCGATAAATACTGTAACATGATAGTAATATATCAGTAAATACAACGTCAGGAGGTAACTGGTGTAGAAATGAATGATAACGAGAAAAGGCAAGATTCATTAGTAAAAGCAGTTCCAGTAATGGTGCCAGAGAAACGAATAGAGGGGTAAAAATAGTGAAGATGAGAACGAGACTGCAGCTTGTAAAGAAGATTCAACATTCTTGGAAAAGTGACTTCAGTTTATCTTTTCGATTCTTGTCTAGAAGAATGATATCTATGAATGTGAATATGAATGCAGCTCATTTTGCAATTAGATTTATTAAAAATTTAACTGAATATTTCAATCATTCACGCGATCATTTTCAACAATAAAAAGAACGAAAAATACAAATTAGAAATCGATTTTTGAAAAATGATAGACACACTTCAAACAATCAGAGATGTAGAAGAGAGAGAGAGAGAAAGAGAACTTTTTGTTGTTTTGCTGGTAGAGTTGTTGTACCAACAATAATTGTTACCATTACCATCATCATTAGCAGCCAACATCTGTCTTTTTTAATAATATTTGTTTATCCATACCTTTAGTATCGTTTAACAACGTTACTATTAAAAGTATGATTTCACAATATACCCTACACAATACCTCACAAATATATTTTCTGACTTAGCTTCTTTTACTAATTCTCATAATTCTCGTAAATTTCTCATTACAGCTATCAATACTCGTTCCGTTTGTTTGCGCGTGGCTAACATCCTTGACACCATTCTGACATGAGTCTTTTGATACTTATATAAGTATTCGATCTAGTTAGTATTTAGAAGTAAGGTTTGAGTTGTTGAGTATTAACGTTTTAATACGTCCACTAACGAGGCCTTTCCTAGCCGATTTCTGGAATCCTGATTTTCAAGAAACCTCGACAAATCCCCAAAACCTTTTCTAAATAAGTCACGATTGTAGTCCGCAAAATTCTGATTAAAATGAGATATATCCCAGCTCTACACGATCTTTCTTTGCAAAGTTATACAGTTTACAACAAAAGCCCTAAATGTTCATTGTCAAAAAGGAATTTAGGGCTTTTGTTGTAAACTGTATAACTTTGCAAAGAAAGATCGTGTAGAGCTGGGATATATCTCATTTTAATCAGACTTTTGCGGGCTACAATCGTGACTTATTAAGGAAAGCTTTTGAGGATTTCTCGAGGTTTCTGGGAAACCAGTATTCCAGAAATCGGCTAGGAAAGGCCTATGGGCCCAGATGAATATCATATTCGAAATCAACATGGTCTATTACCTATAACCTACTACATTTCGTTAAAAAAACGAGGGGACATTTGGGGAGGTTCCCGCGTAAGGGACAGGATCTTAAGTAACAGTATCTAGCGTGCGATCGCAGGAAAATAATGTGCGTTCGTTAAATTATGCTTGGTAAACTGCATTAAAAATTATAGAACAGAGCAATATGGAGTTCAACTAAGCATAATTTTATTTAATCCTTTGAGTACGGGCGCGCTCTGAATAGCTTTCGTAAATATTACGTATTGATTATTCAATGAAATGAATGACGCAGTTTTATCTGCTGATCCCAAATATGTTATTAGTTTTGCATAAGGGAAGTGAAAAGGGCGCAAAATAAGTGGAATAGCGAAGGTTAGAGGTGAGTGTGTAAGCTTTCTGACAAAAGTTTCACCTATGTTTTTCGGAACCATAAGTTTCCATGATTATTTTTTCATGATTATGATGTACATTCAATGCAAATACTATAGTACAAAGAGTGACCCTCAGTTCATCACCCTCGCTCTTCTACATAAGTTTGAATCGTGGGTGTTCGTCCTCAATGAATTTCCAGAACCACATAATAGTGAATCTTCATACTTTGGCTGGATAGTTTACAGACACTGTAGAGTCTTTGGTGCGAATTTGAAGTCAAAATGATGCCCTAAACAGAATTGTGAAATTTTTTCGCAAAGAACCTCAAATTTTCAACAAGAAAAAAGCCAACCTGGCCCGTAAAATAGCTGTATTTCACTAACTCCTAACAACCAACTCAAGAAAGTCATATCGTCGATAGAGTAGAGTCGTGGCTGCATTTTTGTAGAAAGAAAAGTTCTCATCTCTCTCAGGCCAGGAGCTATTGATATTTTACGGAAAAGGCATAAATCGGTTATATCTCATGAATCATTCAGTAAAAGAGGCGTAAACTTGGTGGATGATCAACATTCGGTAAGGGCTATGACAACACAAAATTAGAAGCTCCTAGCTACTATGGTTCTTGAGTTACAAGACTGTCACTACTTTTGAGGGACTATTTTTTGACAAAATAATCCCGTACTCAAAGGGCTATTAATGTCTATGAGGAGAGGTAAAATAACAGCTGTAGAAAACCGAATTTTTTTATAATAGAAAAAAAGATAACATAAAATTAGGTACAGTATAGTTTAGGTTCTAATAAAATTACATATATAGAACTCTGTTATTAATCTCACTAGAGATTCTTTTATTCAATAAAAATATATAGTCAATATGATAATTCAGTTGCTTGGATGAAAATACAAAAATTTTACTGGTTAAATACTGATGCAGTTTTCGATAAATCAGAAAAAGTGCAGGATACAACTCAAAAAACTTAACTGTAGAATGAATAATGAAACAAAGTAAGAATAAATCAAATGTTTATAAATCTCACTTTTTTCCGTGCTTGAAAAGGAGATTTTATTCTTTTTCGTCGGTAAAAGAATAATATGAATAACAGCGAGTGAAGGCTATTGAAATCCGATTTGGTTCATCTTTGAAACAACTGAAAATTTGTTCAATACAGTTTCAATTTAGAGATTGAAATTTTGAATAAAATTTAAAATCGTGTGATTGTGCCACCTAAACATTAGAAAAAAAAGATCGCATTGTTTACTGTTCGTTATTTTCTTTTACTTTTTCAGCGTATAGCATTATTAGAGAAAATGGAATCGTACTTTTTAGACTTAGAAATTATGAGACATAGTATTACTTTTTCCATACGTACTTTTTTGACGGACAGATTTAGACGCTGTTTCTGGTGTTGCAGGTGCTGAACAGGAAAATGAACGCAATGAATCGAGCGATGGTGCTAAAGGCGGAGTCCAGCCATTGAGCAGGGTGGGACTCTTCACCAAAGAACTGTCGCATGGTACTGATGTAGAACTTGATATTGTGTTTCCTTGATTATTTAATTGTGTTTTTTTTGCCTGTTTCTTATTATATCCATTCATTCGACATAACATCTCTTGCGACATTTTTGACTTAAATAGTTACGAAAAAAAATTTATAAGAAATATCCTGTTAACACTGAATGATCTTTTATTAACCAATTCAGCTGCTTATATAAGAGAATGAATAAATATTGAATGATATACTGTTAAACTAATAATTGGAGAATCCCCTTTTGTTTTTTATCAGCAAAAACATTGTTGGTTTAATGTGCGTACACAACGAAGAAAAATTTTATATCTATATATCTTTTTTCAAAAACTAAACTTAGCAACACAAATACTTGATATGTGTCATTGGAAGAAAATAAAGAATGGAGAAGTTAAGTCAATATTATATGATTTGTTTTCACGAAGGAGACCAAATGTCAAAAAAACAAAACATAACAATTACGTGTACTCGAATAATTACATGTGTTGAATCGAAGGATTCTTTTTGATTTTGTATTTAGTCCAGAAATTTCATATGGAATATTTACTTAGTGACTAAATACCTACTATCATAATCAAACAAAAAACTTCATATGAAACGTGTGACAGTAAGATAAAAC